AGAATAAAGGGGCTACGTGGATGAAGAGAGAAGGAAGAAGAGATTAATGTCATTACACACAGGTTTGAGGAGACGAAGAAGAAGTTGAAAATGACAATAAGAGCTTTAATATTGTCTTTGGGTGTTCCTTAGGTCATATTTAGTTGTTCCTTTCTTTATGAAAATGTAATATATTTTTGTAATGGTCATATAAACCCTTTATGCTTCTGTTTAGGATCGTTGAATTTTTAAAATTTTGTAAGAAGATGGATATATGAAAAATTAGTCATGTAGACCTTTTTTGTTTCTGTTTCTTTATAAGAAGAATTGTGTCCTTATGCATTTATGATAATGGCATATCTAGCCATGTTTCTTTATACCTCATGTACACACCCATACACATCTAGCTAAGCTGATGAAGAGTGAAACAAAGAAGAATGGAGACGAAGTGAAGTAGCTCAAGATAGAACAATGAACAACTAAAGTAAACTTCAATATATTGCTATCAAAATACAATAATGAGACAAATAAGCCTTTAAAGGTTGGCCAACAAGACAATAACATTAATCAATATTGTTACAAAGTTACAACATCTTAGATGATGGCTCCATACAAGGCCGAAGCAGCTAAATAAGGCCATAGTTGAATCACAGTTAGCACACAGAACACAAGTGATGGCTCCATACAAAACATAAAAGAATGGTACCAACATTAAAGTTTATCGTATACATAATGGCTACATACAAAAGGCAAACCTAACACATTAAATGACAATCTCTTTTCCCTTTAATCTTATTGTCTAACCATCCTTCACCTTTGACCTTCAAGGTGGGAGCCATTAACACTAAAATTTCCTTGCCATCTTGGACCAAGTGGTTTGAATGAGATGTTTGACGGTTGTGGAGGATATGATACTAAAGTCTCTGCTGCTGCCTTGCTTAGTGCTCTAATGGCCTCTAGGTTGTCTTTGAACATCTCTTTAAATGTATTCCAACCATAAAAGAATAACTTTTTCTTTAACTGCTCTTTCCTCCATCGTTTGCTCCAGTTATCATATATTTGTCTTACACATAATATGTGTTAGGCCTTAGGCAATACCTCCTTTTTAGCTAAGTGGAGTCCCTATGAATAAAAGAACTCAATAAATCAATACAGTGTAAATCATACTAAGTCAAAAAAATTTACTTAGTTATCTTTTACATATCAAACATCAAAGTGACAAGTGAGCCATCATCTAATTCAAGGAAAGTCTAAAGCCATTACAGAAACCATCTCCAATTATGGGTATTCTTCTAGATCAGACCAAAAGCAATAGGGTAGAGAGAATCATCAGCATCCAAAGCATGAGTAGTCAGTAGAATGCCTTTTGCTTTCCCCTTCAAAAAAGTGCTATCTAACCTAATGAAAGGCCTACACCCTTTTCTCCAACTAACCTACCAAAGTTCACATGGAGTAAGCTCTTGTAACTTAATTTAATCATAGAAAGCTATTTTAAACATACTAGGTCCAGATCTATATCTTTGATGCATTAAAGCATACTTACATACGGCTAAAGACTCTCCTTCCTTAGTCTATAGCTTCTTTGCTTAGCTCAAAGCTTATGTTAGATCTAGGATTTGAATCCCCCAATTCATAACAATGTACTTCAAGCCTAAAAAATTCATCCTTATAGTTCCCTTCCAATTCTTACATTATCCTCCTTTTTGCCCCTTCACACTTCTGTAGACTCACACTTAACTTGAACTCATGGTTCACATCTTTCTTCATCTCAAAAATCTTGTACTGTAGCCTCTCTTTAACTTTATGTACTGTGGCCTCTAGGGTTCTTAAAGACCTTTACACTTATGTTTTCCATATAAAGGGTCCTAATCTTCAGTCTAGATGAATTTTGATCCATGGAAGCAAAGAGTAAGAATGGGAATCCCTCCATATACCTGGCCTTGACCCTTGTTGGCTCACTCTTGATATAGGTTACATTTATATCCTTGGTTATAGCATACTTGCTTACGGCCTGCTTCAATTCTTCTCCATTGCTATGGGTCATGCCTAACATCAAAAAAGGCCTGTCTTCATCCTCAGGCTCTTTAACTTTAACATCAGCCCCATCTACATGCTTGGGCCCATCTTATCGCTCACTTCCTCTTTTTTACTATTATTGTACTCATTAGGACTGTCTCCCTCTAATCTTAAATGCCTAGAGTGTTTACTGTCTTCACTATCTTCACCTAGTGTTATATTCACTAGGTGACTTACCTTCGAATGCCTCCTGATCACCTCTACTGTCATTATTAGTCACATGATTTTGTCTAATACTTCTCTTTGGATTCTCAATGTCAACAAGCAAAAACTTTACATTTCTATTAATCTTCTCTAATTGTTTCTCATGCTTCTTATGCCAATTCAAGCAAGCTTTAACCACTTAGGGGCTTATTCGAGGATTCGCTGTGTGAAATTTAGAGATTCCTTACCTCGACTTCTAATGTGATTCTCTATATGTTGATTAGACTTCACATGTGTCACCCTCACTTGCGCAGCTCGTCTCTTCTATTTCTTATTCTCCTTCATGCTCGAGAAAGAGAAAGAACATACTAGAAGGACTAGGGTTTTTTCTCCTTTACACTCGATAATGTTTTGCCATTTTGTGTCTCTGATTGTCATGCTTGTAATTTCATCATTCTTTTCTTTATTTATTTTGGATACGTGCTCTTGAGAAGTTGGTTTGAGCCAAGTTTTTAAATTCCAAAGCATTTTTTTAAAAGTTAAAAGTTGAAAAATCAAAAACTCTTAAATTTTAATTCCCACCGATAATTTGATGAGCCCTTTTGAGTTTTATATAGTTCTCAGATCTCGCAAACCACAACAAAACAAAAGCTAGAGTTACTTTTTTTTTTTGTTGTTGGTAACAAAGGCAGACCCAGCCTGAAAAATCATCAGACAACAATGAAAATATAGAGAAAATTACACTAAATTAAGACCATCTGCCAAGACCATGCTAGCTAAGTTGGGAGGACATGTTCGAATCAGTTTGAACCCATTTCCTGATCCATGAGTGTGCCTTGCAAGATTGTCTGCATGCAGATTTCTCTTGGTGTGCTAAAGTTCCTTTCTGACCAAAGGTAAAAAACCAAAGGGGTGCGTATTATTTTGGTTTTTTAACCGCAAATGCCATCGTTGCTTTCTGTCTGCACATCCCTTACTTCAATTTAGAAATCATAAACTTTGTCATTATAAAAATATTACTTCTTTTTTATCTTATTTATAAATCACTTTTAACATATTTTATTAAAATTATAATTTTTTAACATTCAATAAGAGTATAAAAATAAAGATGCACGCAGTAAACAAAAAAAGTGCTTTACATTTATAATTATAAACAGGATTAAAATTAATTTTTCTTTTCATCCTATAAATAAAAAAAAAAAAGAAACGTATAAAAAATACATGCGCGCGGTATTTCACGTGGGATTTATTTCCAGTTTCGGGTAAATAAATATACACAGTTAATCCTAACTTTTTAAAGGCACTAGGGAACTATCAAATTTCTAGGTATTATACAGAGGCAATGGACTTGCTTTGCCTTCTGTTTACCGAGGAAAAAAAAAAACGTGTTATTTGCATTCCATGTGCCGTGCTTCCTCGGCCTTCTCGTTATTTCACCGAAAAGGAATTATTCATAGTAATATATGTAATTTTACAATTTTCTAGTATCATTACCAATGCAAACCATGCACAAGAAATAATATATATGCAGAACTAAAAGAATGAAGAATCGAATAAATTATATTTTTAGAATACAGGGTTGTTATGGTTTAATTTTGGACAAAGAAGCAAAAACATCTACGAAATCATCAATCAAAAATATCTAATAGCCTAAAGAGATAAAATGAGAAAAAATATCTTTAACATTATCCAAGTTGATATAAAAGTGATCAATCCGTTAAATTTTTTGAATGTTGATCATTTAGTTAATATCTAAATAGATAGATTGTTCATTTGTTGCAACTATTAAAGTAATATTATGAGTATTTCTACAATTTTTCTCACTTTAAATTACTGAATGTCTTTAACCAATGATTTTATAAGTATTTTTGCCTCCATTTTTAATCCGCGTTAGTGAATAAAATGAGTAACGTCTGTTTAGATGTTAGCTAAATAGTTAATGTTTGAAAGATTTAATTGATGGGTTACTCTTGCATCAACTTAAATAATGTTATTAGTATTTTTTTTTCTTTTTTTTTTTACTTTAGGTTATCTCATACTCTTAACTAATGATTTTATGTGTTTTTTTTTGCCCTCTTTTCCTTTGCTTTTACTCCATGAGAGAATTGCATGCACTCTCATGGAAAAGCACATGCCTCGGGGGAATTTTCCCGTATTTTTCGCTGTCATTCGTTGCGACTATAATTTTATAATTGGATGATGTTCGGGTTACGTAGAAGTTAGAGAAAAAATCATTAAAAAAAAAAAAACTCAACACAAGGATGAAGAGAAATTAAGTAAAAATTGCGTCGATAGTAACCTTTTTATACAAAGCGATGATATGGATTTCAGCTTAATCGGACGCGATAAAATTCCATAATACAGGTAGGTACATATTATCGTGAATAGTAGGATTGGATTTGGGATTTGATCTTGTTAACTTTGTATTTACACATCTTGGAATAATTTAATTACTCCCCCCCCCCCGGGTGCAATCAACCGATTTAATTATAAATGACTTGCCATTTTTAAATCTAAATTATATCCCTCAACCAAACAATATCGCTACTACAATTTTTTTTTATAGGAATGCTCATATCGAAATGTTTTAATAAAAAATGCTCTAAACTTATAATGTGAAAGATAACAGAGCATTTTTGAATACAAATGCCCCGACATGTTTAACCTACGGAGCTTTTTCTAGCAGAAAAGCTCGCGCAGGATGCATTTTTTTTTTTTAATTTTTCATTTCCAATCCTACCAGAGCGTGTTTGTGTGCAATGCGGGAGCTTTTTATATGAAAAATGCTCCTGTATGTTCATTATGTATTCATTTATTTTTATGTTTTTGGTTGAATGATTGTTTATTTTTTTATCCCAACCAGTTCCATTCATTTTTAGATCTATGCTAGGTCAGAGGGCTTTTCCTCTTTTCTTCGCTCGAACAGCTCCCTGTAGTCGCCGCGCCATCGTCTACTCCAGCCTCCAATGTCGACGTGGATCATCCGTGAAGCTCCAACCTACTATGGCACTGTCGATCGCGTGCTGTTCGCCTACAGGTGTGGAGCTCCAGATTTCGTGCAGAGCCATTGTCGACTCGTCCTCAGGCTCTAATCTTTAGCCAAGTCACTGCTGTCTCCTCCTCAGAAGCTGTCTTGCTGCTTGGCCATTGCTATGTACAGCTCGTTCGATTGTAGGTTTGTTCCATTTGAAATGTTGTGGCTACCTCCAGTTTAGTTTACTATTTTGCAGGGAGCATTAGGGCTCTGCTTTGGGATCTGATCTGATTTTCTAGTGATTTGAATGCTATTCATGCACTAAGATTGTTCTGCCCATCCCTCTACGGAATCAGAACATCTTATGTACAATTAGAACTAGAATTAGAATGTGGAACCCAGAGCACTTAACGTGTTCCGTTGTATAGCTGAGATATGGGTACATTGACGTGCGCAACGAGCAAGAGCCTTGCGAGAGATTATTGGTTGAGAGGTTGAAGGAATTCATTTTTGGATAGGGTTGGGTGTCACAGAGAATACTGATACAGAATGGTGAAACTAAGGTTGAAGATGGAGTCCAAGAGTCTTGTAGTGAAGAGAGACCGCAAAAGGCTGTTAAAAGAGACATTGAGGCCGTTGACAGAATGATGAGAGCTGATGTTGTTCAGTTGATTGGTGAGAGTGAGGTGGTTGCTGACAACTTTCTGAAGAAAAACTTGAGACAAAGTGACAAAGTGTTCAATATGGTTCCTCATAAGTGTTTGGTCAAGGTGGCTATGATATACGAGCTTTAAATCAGAGCACACCTGTTATACTATGCTTAATCACTTGCATGTTGTAAGAGTTCCAAAAGCCTTCTTTGGTAGAGCTTTGAAGTAAAAATTAATCTATATTGTACTGTAAGCTCCAAAAAAATTAACCTATTATACTGTGCTTAATTATATATGGAAAATTAGAATTAGAATGTGGACAATTTGTATGTATGATGTTAAACATCTCCTTATGTATAGTTAGTTACTGACAGATTTATTCGGTTACTTGAAGCAGCAGTTGGGTTTACTGTCGAAACGGTACTGCAATATAACAACAATAAATTTCGAGTTTGGAATTTAGGTGGGGACTTAAATTTCAAGTTTGTCCTTCTTATAGTCTTAATTTTCTTTGGAATGATTTCTGATTTACATCTGTCCAGGACTTTAAGGAGTTTTATTGATGAGCGGCACACAAGATTTGCTGAAATTGCAAAAGAAGCAAAAATAAAAGTTGCTGCAGCTAAGGAAAAGGTAGCGACTTATGAGGTTGTGCATCTTTTGTGGATGTATTATACTTTTTTCAAAATTGCCTACATAATTTGTGGATTTATTTTATCTGGAGGAAAGAAGTCTCAAGCAAAAAAATGAGGCAAGGGCCGGGTTCCTAAAAAGTAAGATCTGTTTCTTTAGATTTTCTGTTCAGATCATTTTGCAAAGTTCATGGCCACCCAGAGATCTCATTCTTCCATCTTTTGTCAAAGTTTGGATGCGGGTGCATGGTTCCCACATTTTAAAAATCATATAAGTTACTATTTGTATGACTACTTTTTTATTGCACGTTTGTATCTTTTTATATATACTTTATTTTTCCTTTCATCATTCTTATATGCAGTTCATTTTCCATGTTCTTTACATGAGTATCTTGATAGAAATGTTAATGCGAAATGATAGATTACTCCTGGCGATAAATGCATTTCTGTTCTATATGGTATTAGTATCTAGCTCTCTTTTTCAGGAAACTTAGCATTCTCCTAATAGGGGGAGAGTTGATTATTAGAGTTGACACCAAAGGCTCATATTACAATATAAGGGGGCTTCGTGCTAAAAAGTATTAATATGATTTGTTTGCTTGTGCATGCAAAACTGTAACTAAACTTCGGGTTAATCCAGGGCTACCTTTCACTGGTGTCGTAATATCTATCCTTTCGTTAAGAAAATCTGGGAGCCTGAACGTTGTTGTGGATAGATTTTTTCCTTTCTTAGCTGTTCTAGTTTGTTATGTATACTATCTTTTCATTTTGCTTTCTTAGCTTCCAGCAATGCTGCCTGCAATAAGAGGGAACAAGTGAATTTGTAGCATTTATGGATGATCTTTTGATCTGCTCATGCTGATATTTCTCTTGGCTCGGATTTTGGAGGAGCTAAACTTAGCATGGAGTAATTCATTGGCTTGTGCATATATTCTTTCTGGGTGTGATTACTGTGATAGTATTCATAATTAATATGACATTTATGGTTTAACTAAGTTATTTTTCCTTATTTTTTTGCAGATAGATTGTGAATGAGTACTCTACAATCGAATAAGAATGGTGTTAGGTGTACTTATTTGTACTTTTCAAGTATTTGAATTGTTCTAAAATTCTTAGATTGTAATCTACATTATATTCATGTCTATTGTAGTGTTGAAAATTTGTTGGTTGAACTTTTGTATATATAGTGGAATTGCTTATATACTTAAATTAATTATATACATATATTTTTTTTAATATCGGTCATGATGTACAATGTAGGAAGAGAATAGGAAAATGAATTTTTTTTTTTTTTGAAATAAACCTACGAGACCATTTCTTTGCTCCGGTACAGGTCTTATACACAAGCACTTTTTAGAGTAAAGGCTCTTGTAGGTCAACCTGCGGGAGCTCTTTTATTTTGAAAAGCTTCCGCATGTCAACCTATGAGAGCGTTTCAGCAAAGAGAAGTTCTTGCAGGCTGACTTACAGGAGCCTTTTTTAAATGTTAAAAAAACACTTCTATACATACAAGAGCGTCTATTTTCGGAGTGTTTCAAAAACGCTCTGAAAGGATAAAAATAAATGTTCCCTCAAAGCTTTTTATTTAGTAGTAGTAATATTATATTTATTCTTTATTTATTTTCATGTAATCATTTTTTTCTGACTAAATTATGTAACTTTTTATACCATATAAATTTTGCATCTATCAAATTGTATAATATTTTCTTAAATCATATTGCATCTTGTGACATGTATGAGTAAATAAATACACATGGTTTGTTCCATGAGAAAAATACACATGGTTTAACTATTACTTATCTACTTAATTTTATATACTTAATATATTTATATTTTATTAAATAATGATAATTCAATTTTAATATGTTAATAAAATTAATAATAAAAATTCATTATGATATAAATAATTTGTAAAAGATTAGTATATCTTAATTTAATTAAAAATAAATATATTAAATATATAAGGGTAAATATATAAAAAATTTTAAAAAATAAAACAACAAAATATCTGTATTTAATTCTTTTCTCCCGATAAATATGAACAGGGCATGAAAATGTGAATCACAAAAGAAGACTGAGCCATTAAAAAAACATAAATCGCGAAGTGGGAGTGGGAGACTGCAGCTCAGACACTTTGGTGGACCAAAATGCCCCTGCCCTTTATGAAGTGCTCGACATGAGAATAAAGATCCAGCGCTTTGACCCCGTTGATCTTGTAATAATGAAATTACGAGACTTTTTAGAAAGTAAGGGTGGCGGCTTAGACTGTAATCCAAAGCCACGCATTGTTGTCGATCCTTTTTCTCCATTTATAATCTATGTCACTCTTTCATATTTTGAAAGATAAGCGATGCAATCAGCTTCCCGAGTACGCTCGTTGAATCCATTGTTTCCGTCTTTTACTAGCACACTTCCCTCTTCTCTTCGCTTTCAACCTCGGTTTCTTAGGATCTCGAATCCATCGTCCTCATTGTTACTGGGGAATCCTTTCCTTACCGATCGATCTGCTCCAGCAAGTCTGCGCTCTCCTGGTAATTTCTCACCTCTCTCACTGATGTATGCGAATCCCACAAATTACCTTCAATATGCTTTCTTTGTTAAATCTGCTTTTCTGAAATATGCAGTCTTCACTGGCCAGTATTCTTCTCTTCCTCACAAAGTGAAACTGGGAATATCAAGGGATGGGGTTGTTTAATCATTGTATTTTGTTTTTTTTTCTAACCTCGCTTGTAAACTTACCCAACACCACTTCCCATCCTTTCTGTGAATTCGCACCTCCCTCATCCTCTTTGATTGATCGTTGTTGGGCAGCGGGTGACTCTGTACAAAATCAAGAGATGGCTGTGAAGGATGGCCGAGACCCTCGCATAGCGAAAATCTCCTCCGCAATCCGAGTCATCCCAAATTTTCCCAAGCCAGGTTAAAAAAAAAAAAAAAACTCACTGGTTATTTTTCTGTTTTCTTAGTTTCAGCATTATTTTCTATATGATGATGTTGCATTTTACTGTTCTCAGGTTTTTAGTTTTACATTAAAAGAAGCATACTTTTTGGGTCTTATCTTTGTACTCTTGATTTTGCCAGGGATTATGTTTCAAGATATAACAACCTTGCTTCTTGATACAAAGGCTTTCAAAGACACGATTGACTTGTTTGTGGAGAGATATCGAGATAAAAATATCTCTGTCGTGGCAGGTATTTCCGCAAATCTGTTTTCAAAGATTGCTGTTTAATTGGCTTTTGTTACCCTTGTTCGTTTAGTTTACCTGGATACATTTTTCTGTCTCTAAAGTACCCTAGTTCAGGACCTTAAGTTAAAATATCGAAGCTCCTTTCTCTTGAGATTGAAGATCGCTCAAGGAATACATAAATCTTTATTATAATGATGTCAACTTGTAGCCTTTTATATTTGTATAAACTACATTGTTCTTATATCTCCTAAAGCTCCTTTTCAGTTAAAGAGGAGCACATTACAATTTGGCTTATCTAAGTAGAAGGACAAGAACAAAGCTATGCAGAAATCTTTTGTTATTGAGAATAAAGATCCCCACTATCCCTTTCAGCTAACCATTTCCTGTCTGTTTTTTGTGTTCACTAGCAGTAACTCCGAAGTACTGAGAAGTAAAGCATTTATATGCTCGTAATAATGTGATAAAATCTAAAGTTTCTAAGTTTTATTTCACGTTCTTGCTGTTTTCTACATGAGTGTGTCAGACACAAGAGTGTGTGTGTGTGTGTGTGTGAGCAAGTCATTTTGTTTGTTTTTTATTTAGGTCTGAGTGAGCATGTTGTTATCCATTCTTTTTTTAGATGGTTTGTGAAACAATGATGATAGTGTTCTCTGTAAGTGGAAGCTTTTAAAGTTCAACCACTCATGCCATTGGAAATTGTATTGAATCAATAATCTTTACGTGGCATTAGCTCAATTACATGCCACTTGGTAACTTCTCTTCCATTATTAGAAGAAAGCAAGAGCATACTTCCTCACCAATCCCTACAAACTATCAGAATTTTTTTCCTTTCATTATATCTGTTTTATAATCTACTGAAGATACTCTGTCAGTTGTGCCTGACAACTGCATTGATGCAAAATGTAGGTGTTGAAGCAAGAGGCTTTATATTTGGTCCTCCCATTGCATTAGCTATTGGGGCAAAATTTGTGCCCATGAGAAAACCCAATAAATTGCCAGGTAAATATTTTGTGTTGTTCTACTGAAAGCACCACATTCAAGTTGGGGGAAAATTCTTTGCAGATAACTCTTGCTTGATGATCACATTTACTCCTTTGGTTCTATTTATAAGGCAAAGAGAGAAGAAAAAAATTTGGTCTTATTTATAAAGCACTTGTCAATTTTCAATGCTCCTCTTTACATTTTTGCCCTTATTAAATGCTTTGAATAAAAATACTAGCAATGAGATTTAAGAACATTTATTAGGAGTAAAGGAGGAAACTTGTTAAATTTTAAGACAAAGTTAATGAGGTTTAAGGTTTTTCTTGGTTCCGATGAAACATGTTGGAAGTGATTTATAAATAGCATTAGAGGAAGTAGTAAATAACTAGTATACTGCATGATGTTCCAAATTTGCTGTTATAAATAAGCTGTATCAGTATTTACTAGACCAAATGAACAAATATGGTATAGTGGTTCATGATATTATTTATCTTGGGTGAAGGACTTAATGTTATTAATTCATTAATTAACTCTCACATTGATTCAGCTATTTTGTTCTGATCTCCCATGTCTGTTAGAAGTTGAATGAATCTTAATGATAGGGACTGTTTTTCATTTTCCCTTTATGCCATGAAAGTTGTTTCAGGGTCTTCTGCATCTACCTTAAGTTTTCTCTCTTGTAAGAAAATCCAAAATTAAGAGATTGAACAGGGAAAAAATCACTAGAAAGATACTTGGAAGATTTTTATTCTTTCACCCCATGATACCTATGACCATGGCAAATCTGTTGTCCTCAAGATCACCTCTTGTTGCATTACTAGCTAGGCTACTTGTGTATCTTGGGAGTTGAACCTGCAATGTCCCCAGCTTGTTAACTTGAGTTTGGAAATATGAAACTTCAGGAACTTGAGTGCATGTCTCAAAACAAAAACTAATGGTGTGAGTCTTGCAAAGATCTTCTTTTGATATTTCTCTACTTCAAAAATACATATATATGTTTGTTAAATTTATTTTGAAGAAATTTAGTATATTTAGCATAAATTCACCACCACCATTTTCTGTGGCCTTGGTGCTGGTTAATTGTTATTTATGGCTATAAATATTTGAATCTATATTGTCTGCAGTCTTATAGGTTATGTGATACTTCACTGTGCCAACTTCCATTACTTGAAAAGCACCTGAGTGTTATGTGACAGATAAGAGCTTTAATGATTTTGTTTTGATTCTCTTTCAGGGGAGGTTATCTCAGAAGAGTATTCTTTGGAGTATGGAACTGACAAAATGGAGATGCATGTGGGGGCCGTAGAACCAGGGGAACGAGCCTTAGTCATTGATGATCTTATTGCCACTGGAGGCACCTTATGTGCTGCAATCAAGCTGCTTGGTAGTTGATCAAGACCTAAAGTTTCCCTTGAGCTGCAAAAGCATGATATTAACTCCAACATGCATGTTTTAAGAGAAGCTAAACATCTTTTCCCCAATGTATGGAAGAGATGAATAACTTGAAAGTTTCTTGAAAATTCTGTTTAGCTTTCTAACTCTTTCTAACGTTTGAATCATATTAAAATATTTGAGGAAATAATGGATTAATCAAAACAAAATTGCATCTAACCCAATGAAATGTATTTAAAGAGATTAAAAAAAAAAGGATTATATTGAGCTTGAAATGAGTTGCACTGTTTGTGATTTGTAAATAGTCAGCTTCTTTTAGAATTTATTTTTATATAGATATCGCTTATTACTCAAGAAATTTTCATCTATGTTTTAGCTGGATCCTACCCAAGCAGTCATCTCACTTGTATGTTTGGTTTTATATGCTGGGACCTATCTTTTGAAAGATAAGTGCTGGTGGAAGGATGGCTGCTTGTATTTAATGTGGGGTCTGGCTGATTGTATAATCAACATCTCAGAAAGAAAACTTGATGGAATAATCAGGTTTGATGAATTTGTGAAAATGAGCAAAAATATTGGACTTAAGCCTTTCCTTATAAACTCTTATAGCTATCTGTTTCACAGCTTTCATTTTTCTTTTTCAAGAAAAAAAGACAGATCATAACGCACATATTGTAAGGATAGAAACAATTGGTGACATTGCTATGAGTACTTAGCGTGGTATTACCTGATCTAAATACTGTATGCTTACATTACAAGTGACTTTTTCATGTGGAACCATGTTTTATCATTGGTGAATTTTCTTCTTTAACATTAATGTTCGGCACATTCTTAGTTATTCTTTTTATTCTTTGCTGTAGAACGTGTGGGGGTGGAAGTGGTTGAATGTGCTTGTGTGATTGAGTTGCCAGAGTTGAAGGTATGCCCACACAAGTGCAAATACAGTCTATCTTTCCATGGCTATTAGATGTTTGTTCAGCTGAAATATATAATCTCCACAAAATCTAATGCATGTTATAAAGGAAACTTGTGTACAGTGAAGTTGTTTTGTGTTTCACGGGGATTGAGAGAGGCATCTAAAATTGATCAAATGGTCTGCTCTGTAATTTCCTGTCCTTTTTTAAAAAAAAAATTAACACATTCATCTTCGTAAATTACATATCTAGAAAGAGCAAGCAATAGTTTATCAAAAGAAAAGGAAAAGGCAAGCAATATGAAGCATGCAAGTAAAAAGTGTGCTTGTCATCTGCAGCATGTCATTACAAATTCGGGTAGTTCTAGAGGGCATGTAAGTAATCTATTGCTTTCCTTGAGAGGGCATTAAATCAACAAACACAAATTTTTTACATAGTCATCATTAGTGGTTCGGTCTTTGACTAGAATATAGTAACGGCATTTGCGAAGCAAGCTGAAGACTCTCGGAAAATTATTTCAACACCTCTTTAAATGTTTGTCCTTTTCGATTTGCTGATGTTTTCGTAGTTTCTCCCATAGAGTTGCACTCATGGCTCTAAATGCTCATCTGCAAAATTCTATATTTGAAGAAAGCTTATTATTGCTGCTTAATTTTGTGCTGGAAGGTACTGAATAAAGTGTTCTTGTAAATGGAATACCAATGTCTATGGATCTCATCTTTTACCATAACTGCCTTTCAAATTTAGTCCATAACTTGTCCCTGTAGGCTATTTTCCGGAGTGTTGGGGGTGATGAATTAACTTGCACAAATCTTGCTTGTAGAGCGGAAATTCGTTGTTACAATGAACTAATTTTCTTCCTCTGTCTGACTTATTTCAGGGACGAGAAAGGCTGGGGGACAACCCGCTATTTGTGTTAGTTAGTGCAGCTTGAGTTCGGAGTTATGATGTTTACTTTTAGCTCTTAAAAAGACGTTGTGGGTTCTCATTTGCTTGGAGCTTTGTTAGAGGCTTCATATTTCCCTGACGTTCTCTTGATATTGAAATAAAGTGGGGGCTTGGGTTGAGTCTGTTATGGCTGCTGAAGGGATTGATTTGTTAGGCAAGGCTTGTTGAGATGAGTTCATTGAACATTGACGCGCCTAAGGCACGTGTTGGACCTTTCAGCTTCAGCTTTTGCTATTGCATGGTTGGTGAATGGATTATTGAGTTGTGGAATATACTCACTCCGTTTTTAAATATAACAGTAACTACAAGTGTCTTCTTGTTTTCATATAAGCAACACTATAAACTTGAAGAAGTATTTATCATATTTTTCTCAAATTGTTATCATAAAGTCAATATTTATTTTCACTAAACAAATTTATTTTATTAATTACATGAATAATCTAGTTCAATTTTTTTAAATTTCAAACTTAATTATTATATTTAATTAATTTTTTTTAATGTGTAAATTAGTTTTTTTTTTCTATATTTGAAAACGGAGGGAGTATTATATAAATCGGTTATCAGCATTTAGTATTTCATTGGATTGGATGTGACTCTTGAGAGTTGCCTTCCTGATTAACTTGCCAGGTAACTTGTGTGTGTTCGTGTTATATGCTTTTACATAAAACCAGACAATTTTTGATATAACTTGTCTGCTATTCTGACCTATGATGCAATCGAAGCTTCAATGGCGTTCTCAGATGCTTCTCTTCCAGGAGAATGAATTGGCATTGGTTCACTTGTTTTACTGTATTGTTTCTGGTTTGCTTTTGTTATCTTATTTCGGTGGTTGTTGAACTTTTCGTTGCTCTGTAAGTTGCTTCGTTTGTACTCTCCTTTATGTTTTAATGCCAATGAAGCTTGTCGTCCGAAAAAAAAAAAAAAAAAGGAGTCAAACAGAGTGAACTTGCTTTGGCAACACTAATTTAATTTGGTTCCAACGTTAAAGGTTACGATAGACGCTTAAATATACAATTTTGAATTTAAATTTGTGTGAATGCATAATATATCTTTAAAAGGTTATCTCTAATTAGGTTTGAATGTCACTGATAGTACAGATATTAAACATTACGTGAGAGGAGTGTGTAAAAGTCCTGTTTTATCTTGTTGACACATAATTGTATAAAAAATAGTGAAAGTAAAAATAAAAACAATGATTCAGATAAGAGAAAAGAAAGGAAGAAAGTTCAATGCAGGCTATAAATATATTCTTTCCCGTGCTTAATATAAGTAAGGCAAATTTAGTCAATTTCACATTTATTAAAAAATGATAGTTATATCATTAAAATTATTAAAATTATATATTTTTTTAATTTTACTCTTCTTTTTAATTAATAATCATAATAAATAAGCGAGGGATAAAATTTAAAAGGATATTAATTACTTTAACTTGCTTGTATATTAAAGATAAAATAATATTTTCAAAATTTGTCATCGTAAAAGCCAGAAAGAATATAGGCATGAGTGTGTATTCTCACTGTAGCAAATATTAATGTGGTTCATGCCATTTGGATCTTATGAAGGTATTGGACACGTTGTTATGTGCTTAAAATGGCTCATCATCATCAATCCACGCATCCCTGACCTGGAATGATTTTAGATTAGTCAGGGGGCTGATCAGCCTAGCCTATTAAGTATTTGAATAGTACAACCACAAGACATTGAACCCAACAAATGCAAAGTTGATGTCTTTTTTTTTGTGGGTAAAATTAGTTGATGTCTTTAATACAGTAGCTATCCCTCTCTGGGCCCACGTCAAGGAGCCCAAGATTTGGGGCTTCATTGGATAATCAACATCTTTTTGGACTTTTTGGACAGTCTAGTTGAAAACGGACAGCATAAATATTAAGATCCATAACAAAATATCTTTAAAATAGCAGCCAGTAATGCTATTTAATAGAAGGGAACGACTAGCTAGAATTTTGCGGCTACACGAAGGTTTTTCCACTAGTTTTACCTCCTAACCCAAACATGTGTTCTGGTTCTTCTTAACTTATCGGTGTTTGTTTATAAAACATCTGACCTGAGTTACAGGATCCAGCAAACTGTGTCTGCATTTTCATTACAAGGTTTGATACTGTTAATCTAGTTATCTCTGTGAAATTCATGGAACTGTGTTACGGGTATCATGAGATTTATTATTACATTTTGTTAATAAGATATCTTGATCTTTAAATTTCATACAGCACAAGAAATACAATCTAATTTTCAATAGATTGACACATGCATGTTGTCTTCAGGGAGCAAATAAAAATGTCAACACGTCAATGAAATGACAGCACTGTCGGGAATACAGTGCACTGACGATGAATCCAAGTAACAAACTTATTTAGGGTGCTTAAAAATTTGAATTTTTTTTTTGTTTGAATTTTAAAATGGGCTAAACTTATATACTTAAAATATTTATATCCAGTTAAATCATGACATGTAATTTAATATATTAATTTAATTAATAAAAAATTATTATAAATAAATAATCTATAAAGGATTCACATGTTTTAATATAATTAGATACAAGTACCTTAAATATATAAAGTTAAGTATACAACTTTTTTTTAAATAATGAGGACGGATGAAAATTCAATGTTCCTTGCTTGCATCTAATAGTTATACATAAAAATAATAATTATATTAACCAACCCATTTAAAAATAATGAGAAAAACTAAAAAATTGAAATTAATGTTTTTACCCCCTTGATGATTAATCATCAATATATAATATTATTAGTTATCGTTGGAAAAAAAAAGTATATTATTAGTTATCAATCAATATCATGAAATATAAAATTTATAAAAGGTTATATTACTAATTATATATAATTGGGCTCATTTTTTAGATTTTTGATAGTAGAGATTACCTCATTTGAGATGGCAAGGGATAGATTTTCTCAGTTAAAGTGCTAGTTATATAAGAGTTGAACTTTTTTTTAATTCACAATCACTCATTAAAGCAATGAGAGCTCTTAACAATCAGTCAATTTTGATTGAATTATAGTATTAATAACATATAATATAAATATATAAATTATATTATACTAGGATAGTATATATATTGATATGGTGATGTTTAAAATATTCAAAAATCATTATTAAATGCATTAGGATAGTAGGATTAATTATGCGATGGGGGCGAAGCTCATTGTTGAAAAATGGAGGGGAGGACCGGGGAGGTACAATTATTGGCTAGAATGTTGATATTGTTTCAAAACGAAAGAAATTTAAATTGGAAGAAATTTATTAATAATCAAGTTTTTAATAAATGACTTACAAAAAACGACTATAATATCCTTCTACAATGCAACTTATCTAGAGGATAGGAGAAAAAAAAAGCACACATTAAAATTTAATATTTTACGATTTCATGTTCTAAAATGATTGTAGTTTGCATCAGCATGGAGTTTGATATAACATGTGTTGTATTAAGAAGGGCGGCATCTTATGATTTCATATATAGGTATAGATTTTATTAATATTTGAGATACATAGTCCTTTGGAAAAGGCAAATTACATATTTTGCAATTTGCAAACATTCAATCATATGTCTAGAAAATAAATTAAATATGTAGAATCATGTACACGGTTTATCATTACATTTTTTTTTAATTTTTCTCTAAAGGCATTACATATGATTCGTTCATTTCACTAGGAGGATTTGAACCCATTGCATGCAATTAATTTTGCAATTGTAAATTATTTGAATTTAAAGATAATAGAGTCGGTAATTCAAGCCAACCTAAACCCGTTCAAAAAAGTTAGGGTTGGGTGTGACTATATATACTTTTTCAAGAGGATAGGATACTTTAAATCTAATCTAAATAAACTTGATTGCTGAAATTTTTAGCTCTATATATATAGAGAGTTGGCAATTTTGGTCAAGCCCGACGGATCAACCTAAACTCAATTGAAAAAAGTTAAAACTGAGCTTGGCTATATGAATTTTTAAAGATGATAGGATGTTTCAAGCCCAATCTAGATAATCTCAACCTGAATCGAGCCTAACTCACCCAAATTACCGGCTCTATAAAATCCTACTATGAACCCAAGGTCATTTATTTATTATTATTATTATTATTATTTTGTTGCACGTAACAAGCCTTTCCAAATTTTGAGTATATTCTCTTTAAATTTTAAGTCGTGCAAATAAACCCTCGATATACCATATATTCTTTTCAGTAAAATGATGAAAACACTAATGGCTAGGGAATATTTTCATAAATGTAAAAGTTTAGGGAATTTATTGTACATTTTTAAAATTTTAGAAGATTATTTGCATAGAATCTAAAAATCATGAATGTTAATATGTAATTGAACTGATAATTTTTCAATTGAAGTAGCTGAACTTTTAATATTTTCCTTTTCTCCACCTGGTATTGTTGGCCAAAAAAAAAAAACACTAATAGCCCGTTCGGGCTTAGTTATTGGAGAGAAATGTAATGATTTATGGAGAACAAAATAAACTGAAACAAACTTGTAGAATGGTAGAGGGATAGAGACAATCTAAAAAAAAAAATTTAACGCTTGATGGGGTTAGAGGGGTGAGAATGAGAATTGCTATGAATAAAGCCATAAATCCTTGTTCCCATTCCATCACTCCAAGGCTTCCCTTTTTTCTATAATTTTCATCTCTATCAATACACAATCTTATTTTAATTTATTTTGTTTACCATCCATGCATGTCTTTCCTTTTTATTTCATCCCAATAACCAAACCAACCTGACTTCACCCCTATTCCCAAAGTTCAATGTAAAAATATCCCCATGGTTGTCACTCTCTCATAGGCCATTTAAAGAATCATGCTTGGACTTTCATAATATGGACTTGCCACCATCCATGTGGGCATTAAGTAAATATATTTTGATGCAAATTTTAAAATAATTACTCATTCTCTTTATCAGGGGAAAAAAAAATAATGGCTTACATAAAGGATTGAGGAGGCTGTTGTCATTGGCTCCTGCTTTTCCAACCTCCACGACATGTCACTTAGGTCTCGTACTTCCAATTATATTATCATACATGCATCCCACAAGAATTATGTGACCATATTATAATGTCTTCATGCACTTCTTTTTCCAATTTATTAGACATCTACACATAAGCCCAAATATTTTAAGCCTTGGGGGTCTCATCTTTCTTGGCCGATATCTTAATACCCAATTCCATATTCCTTTATTTATTTTTCATATTATAAAGTAAAGTTTCCTGCTTGCCTTTTTTTCAAGGCCGGGTCATGCTTGTCAAGCTCTTTAACCCATGATTGGCTTGCTATTCCATAATGGCTTAAACTATCAACGACGTGGATTTAAGTAAAAAAAAAAAAATCAAAAACCATGTGCATTACACGAATTCCAGAAAGATTATAATGGCCATACACACACAATGGGCCTGTTTATTTAAAATTAAAAATAAGTAATGTTTAAATAGTCTAGATATTTCATAAAAAGAGATTATTTTTTGATTGGTTACAATAATAAAAAAATGATTATTAGTTAGTTATTTTTAAATTTTATGATATCTTCTTTAATTTTTATTTTATAAACATAATTATTATTTAATTATTTAAAAATTTTATGATATCTCTGCATATTTATTTTTTAAAAAACATTCTCTCTCATATATCGCATCAAATTATTTTTAGAAATTATCAGAAGTAGTTCTTTTTAAATGATTCAAAATATACTTTTTGTGATTATTTTTAAATGTTTAAACAAACATATTAAAAACTTGCAAAATATATATTTTTAAAAAAGTAATTTTTTTATAAAATAAGCTGAAATAAACAGATTCAATATTGAAAGGTTAGAAGGGTTATGACCTTATCAGTCCCTTCTTTAAATTTAAGAGTGCATCATCTATTCTGTATTCAATTTCTTTAAATTTTAATTTTTTAGCTCGAGTCATTATAGAATGTATTATAAAAAATTGTTTAAACATTTTTTCGCAAAGTTATAAAAATGTCGCACGTAACTTGTCAATATATATCTTAAAAAGAATAATGCTATATAGACTAAAAAAGGAAAAAGGCAAAGCTATTCTTCCCAGAATGATACGTACTCTATAATATATATTGCATATAAAATTTAGAATTAAATTAAATTATATTATCTACGATTTGTTTACATTAGGGTTCATATTTCATCATGACATTGATACTAATTATATATATCTTATCTTAATTATGCGTTGTTTCCCCTTGCCAGCGTCGTAGCCTTTGCTGACAATGAAAGGTTACGGTCTTTTTAGGGCAGAAGCTCCCTTCCTTCGTTTGGTATAGAGAATAAAAAAAAAAAAGGAAAACAGAGAAAAAAAGTATCATGTTTTATTTGAACACTAATAATAAAATAATAATAATAATATATTAAATATAGAGACGCAGGTATTCAACTTTTATGTTGTGTATGCTTAATGTATTTTTATTCAATTAAATTAGAATGAATAAATTTTAAAGTATTAATAATATTAATAATAAGATTTTATTAGAAAATAAATGATATATAAAAGGTTACTTATTTTAATTTAATTGTACACGAACAGTTTAAGTATGAAGGAGATTTCTGGCCCAAAAAAAAAGCATGAAGCTGGTGATCAATGAGGAATAAAATCAGATTTTTAGGGTCTCCAATCTCTTCTTTCCTATTTCGTTTCTAGATTTTATTCTCTGCCCCATTTTTCTTTTCCGCCCAGACGTTTGGGATTATACATTATAGCGTTTCCTGTAGCCATTTCAAACTCAAAAGGTCGTGCTATGGCCGGTGCAGAGAGAAGAGACCTTATGATCTTTCTTCGAAGAGATGTGGTTTTTAAAAAATGGGGAAAACTAATCCATTTTCGACGCGTGGACAGGGGACTCGCGCGAGGATAGGCGGAATCTAAGGATACCTAACATGACTGTAATCAGTGTGTTTAATGCCTTTGTTTTTGTAGTCTATTGGATTACGAGAATTTTGTGACGATGGATTAATCTTAGCTGAAGATATAACAGCTGGGTTCTTTGCTCTGTCGTAGATACTGCACTGCTGGCTCCTTAAGTTTATATGCGAATCATTAACATTACTATTTTTTTTTTTTTTCCGTTTTGCTATCTCATTTTACTGCTACCTATCAAATACTTGCAGGTTTGACTTTGTAGGGTTTCGGGAAAGGTTATCAACCGGCAATGTCAATGCCGTATGGAAGAGTACATTGTTGCTGTCATTGAATTTGGAATGGATAGGGCAAGGTATCAATAGAATTAGGAACTAAATGGCGCGAAAAGCTCATTCCTGATATATCCATAAGATCAAACTTTTCTTGAACTCAAAAGGCTCTACCCATATCATGATCAGTAACAACTTTGTATTGTTTCTGGCAAAAAAAAGGGGGGGGTGGGCGCAACAGCAACTTTGTTTTGTTCATGCACTGTGCATGTTAGAGGCTGGCACTGTGAGGTTTTCACTGGGGGAGGGGATCCTTCATTTTCCTTCAGTAGCTAAAAATCGATTCCCACTTCCATGCCTGTTTAAGTTCTACTGTGAATCGTTAATGTGTTGATTGGCAGCCTAGATGATATGATCTTTGAGATATGACAGCAGAGAGACTCGAACATTGTTAAATTATAGGATTATTCTTTACGCTTAGGATCTGGAGAACGACTGACTGAACTGTGCATTGAACAGTGATATTTCATTTTAATCTCATGACAGTATATTATATTGCTGGCATATTTTGTGGGTGTTCGAGCAAAATGGGAGAGCTCGTTAGGCTGAGGAGACAATGAGCGAACTCCACGGTCTATGTCGGACTTTAAAGAATGTCAGACTCATCCCCACGATGTGGCCTCCCATAGTTTTTTATTGTTTAGTATTTGCTAACAGAATTCTTTCTGTTTATTATATTCAGGGGAGACTTTCACGTTCTGACAATATCAAAAACGCGCATGCTTTTCCCCTCCTTAGCCCTAACTGTACGACTACTGCCATCAATTGAGAGACTTATTAATCAAACAGTTAGTCGCCTTCAATGATTATTATTAGACTTCAGTTGTCTTTTTGATGACAGTTTTAAGAAGTCTAAGGTGTTTAAATCCCAAAGGCCACTGGGGCATTGTATTATTTTAGTTTATCATGATTCATGACCATGAACTTTTGTATCCCTCTGAGTTGTCATATGCCTGGTATTGGCCCCACAGTGGACTCCTATGTTCAGTTACAGAGAACTAGGACCTACCCGAGCACAATGATAATGAATTAAAAAATATTCACAAACGAAGTCAATCCTTATGCTAACACTCTTTCTTGGCAATCGGTATAAATGTGTTCCTAGTTTTTGTTGATGGCAAGCCTCCTTTAAAGTGGTATTGGACCACAAAAGAACAGCAATTATTTTCCTCAGGCTTCTAACTGTACAGAAAACAATGGAGCCACTTGGAGTCATCCCTGATGGGGAAATGAGTTGCTTTCAAGGGATGTTTGCCTCAGAAGAGCATGATTACTTCTCACAGTTTCTTGGCCAAGGCTCACTTCCGCTTGGGGAACATGATCGAATGCTCATGGGAACAGAATCCATGTTTTGCTCTGCTCCTGAAGCTGGGGAAAATGGATGCATGTTTAATTCTTTAGATGCTCTCAACCCAGGTTTGCAGTTTATTTCTCAAGAAAGTAGTTTTAGCGGTGACTGTAGCGGCGACGCTTTCTACGTTGCCAACCACGGTCATTTGAACTATGTCAGTGATCCTGATCAGGCTCTAGCAAATGATGCCCGCATGTTCATGAATGTTTGCATGATGCATGAGAAAAACACTGGCACGTTCAACCCGTCACCAGGAAACGTTTTGGTGGAAGAAACTGTTAGCTACAATGAAGGTAGGAGAGGGAACAGATTGGAGAATTCTAATCTAAGTCAAGCTGAGTTTACAGCTTTTGCTTCCGAGCAGATGCACCTCAAAAGGAAGTTTGATATGCTAGAACTGGAGGGTTCAGCAGATGACAAAACAAACACCAACTCATCTGAGAATCAAAAGAAGAAACCTCGTGTTTCAAGAGACGTAAGTGTTTTATTTGATCCTACATTTTTGTCAACACTCAAGATTAAGGGTGGAAGCAGGATTAGAGTTTCTCTCACTGTAATTTTCGAATTCAGGTGCAAAAGAGTAAGAAAAATGCACAGCAAAAGAACCGAAAGGTTGCAGGAAATGGCCACGCGGCAGAAGATACTGATGCAGGATTACATGGGCAGTGCTGCAGTAGTTACAGCGTAGAGGACGATAATGCTTCTCAGGAAAATAGTGCAGGAGCTTCCTCAGAGTCTAAATCACCAGTGACTCACAACACAAATGGAAAGACCAGATCCAATAGGGGATCAGCAACAGATCCCCAGAGCCTTTATGCCAGGGTAATTTATTTGTTTCTTTCACCACAAAATATATTCTTCCATTATGTGACAACATAATATATATGCTGTATATGATACTCATTTTCGTTATGAATCTTGCAGAGAAGAAGGGAGAGAATAAATGAACGACTGAGAATCCTACAGAATCTTGTTCCAAACGGAACAAAGGTGATGATAGTTTATATTAATTATTTATTTATTTTTCCTTTGTGGGGGTGGGTGGGCCAGTAACCAAATCAATTGGTTGGGGAGTAATATAAAAGACTTGGATCGCTGATTTATTTTGCAAACGGTGGTTCAGGTTGATATAAGCACGATGCTTGAAGAGGCAGTCCATTACGTGAAATTTTTGCAACTCCAGATAAAGGTAATAAGAGGCATAAATTGCAGAAGACAATTCTTTAATATGTAGATATTTACACGAACGAAAATTATATATAATGAAACTAATTCGTTTAGCATGTTTTATTTTCGTGTAGCTTCTAAGTTCTGATGACCTGTGGATGTACGCTCCTATTGCTTATAATGGGGTTGACATTGGACTGAATCTCAGCCGCGGGATTTCTCCACCAACACGATGATGAAGGAAACCAGAGTGATCCTGAAATGTCACTTAAGTAAACGAGAAAGGAAAATAATGATATATGTATATGTTCTAACTTGCTATGTTCTAATATGAATGCTGCTGCCCTCTTGTCCATGAAGACAATTCTCACATTCACGTTAAGTACCTCATATCTGTGACCCCATTAAATGATAATGCGACCGTAGGCGTAGCCTTGGTTCTTTCCAATATCTTCTGTTCAAAGAACTGCGAATTTAGTTAAAGTCAAAACATGAAAAATATTAAACAAGCGGATTTATATATTTTTCACGGTGCATGTGATGCTTTGAGTGTTTTAACTGAGCACTTAGTAAGTCCTATCCATATTCCTTGCAGTAACATTTTCCACCCTACTGGTTCAAATCCGAAACAGCTTAACAGAAAAACAAGATTCTTATTTTGAGACGTGATCTGTGATCCTCATTAAAATCCCCGAGGATGAGGGTGATTTGCCGGTAGGCCGTGAGAGAGAACTACAATTGATGACAAGCATGTAAATGAAAATAATTCAGATCAATAATTTAATATATTTATCAAACACAGATTAAAAAATTGTTAAATGAAAATTGGATTAACGTCACTGTTTCTTGCTATGAAATATCTCCTAAAGAGGCGAATTATTAATTCAAATACTTTACTGACGAGTCAACTAAAGCTAGCATAACTTATAAAATAGTAAATGAGAGATAATAAATTATATATATTGTCATATTCACGTGTTTTTAAATATATAATTTCTTTCATGGTTATAAAATAAATTAACTTGGCTATTTTTCATTTGAAATGTAGAGAAAATGCGATTCTATAGCGTGCTAAAAGATAAATTCCTTTAAGTTGAGTATACGTAGCTTTTAATTATATTCCAACAATATAAGCCATGAAGATTGTTTAAAATTTATTCTGAATACATGGTCGCTGACACTGAATCTTTGAAAAGCAACAAGAGTATATTATATATCACAAAGGCACGAATTATTGTTGATAAAGATGGTTTGAGGTTTTTTTCATCGAGAAATTGTTTGCAGATGTATTTACTGAAGCGCACGATAGGGGAAGTGTCTCCACTCACCATGTGCTATATCCTAAGCTCTTTTTTTCAATGGCGATTTCAAAGAGACAACTCTAAGTAAAATTTAGTAATTTCTTTCTTTCTTTGTTTTTCTTTTTTAGAGTGCACATTCAAACTTCTCTCATTCGAAACTTGAATTATGTGTAACCCGGAAAGAAAAAGAAATCAAATTGAATAAACAAGCTAGTGAGGAATCCGAGTATTTGGAATATAATTATTCCTTTTCTTTGACAAACTTATGCTCAATGTCGGCCATCCTTGCCCGTAAAAGGTTATTTATACTGTATTTTTGTCTAGAGTGAAAAGTTTGGCACTCACAATTCAACACACACACGCAATACAATGTAACAGTGTTCATAGATTTGATTTGGTTCAATTTTAATAAAAAATTGAATTGAACTCAACCAATAGGTTCATTATAGTTTGGAATCTATTTAGTTTTTTTTTTCCTTTGATCAATTTAGATTAAGTTTGAACTCTTTTTATAAGATATTTTTCATAATCATTATATTTGTGTACGCACATATTTAATGACTGATACTTTTTAACTATTAGTTACTATTTAAAATGAAAAAATCTCTTGAGCACAAAAGAATATTTATTGACAACTATTGAGCATATTTAACTACTAAAAATAAATATGTTATATTAAAAATACTTGATTATAAAATTAATAAATTATCATAAACAATTATAGATAACATTTAGCTAATTGTAACATATTTTTACTAATGATTTACAAATAATTAAACTTGGGAAAGAGCAAAAATCCTAGGTAAATTTATATAAAAATATATAGTAAGATTTGGTTTGGTTTGATTCAAGTTTTCAGAAATGAAAACCTAAATCAAAATGAACCAACTAATTTTGTCAAGAGATAAACCAAATCAAACCTCATTTATAATTAGTTTTAGTTTGATTCATATCGATTTGGTTTGATGTAATTAATTTATATTGTTATATATATAAGATTTGGATTGATTTTAAATCCCCTTACACAATACAAATGTATATTCAGGGGAGGTTGTCAAAGTCATTACCAACTCAAGGCCTAGTGTAATCATACTCCAAGTTTGATTTAAGCTCAAATATTAGTTTGATTTAGAGATTATAATTAGAGATGAGAAAATGGGTTGGCCTAAATATAAATGGCTTGATTTTAATAGGTTCAAACTTGAAAAATCTACTTATATCAAAAAAGTTTTATTTATAGAGTTTGGCACGGGCCAAAGGCTGGCCTTGCAAGTTTTAAGTCATTTTACATTTTTTAAATGTTTTCGGTTAAATGAGTACACAAAATAAAGAAATAAATATTATAAAATTTTGAATTTAAATAATAAATATTAACAAACTAAATTATTAATTATTTTTTGTAATTATTTAAATCAAATCATTATTCTATAAACCTCAATAAGACAATAACATTTGAACGTTAATAGAAACATTAGAATCACGGTCATGATTATGCAAAAAAAAAAAAACTTCTATTTCAAGTAATAAAATTTTACAATTTATAAATTTTTAATTTAAGTCATACAATCTCAAATAATATAAGTGTAAAAGCATCCTTTTGTCAAAAAAAAAAAACAGACAATTTAAAAATATTAAACACACACGCATATCATAAATCCAATCATTCTCTAGTTGAGCAATATATCAAACAATATTTTCAGAGATAAGATAAAGAAATAATTATCCGATATTAAACAAACTAAAATATTATGCAAAGTTACATTTTTTTCAAAATACAATAACAATTAAGTGTTTGAAATATTATGAATAATGTAAAAAAATCAATAATATAAATATAATAATTAATATTTTAAACAATAAATAAATAAAAGGGTTTAAATTGGTTAACCTTTGATCCTATAAGGTCGACTTATTTAGGCCATCATTTTATTAGAGTTGGCTCTTATATATTTATTATACATTTTTAAGATCTAAATTTTGATCCTAGCAATTGCCAAGGTTAAATGACTTGGGCTAGGGGCTTGTTTTCTGGCTGCTCTAATTTCAAGCTGACTTGGTTTACAGAGACGATAATAAGAAAGCTAATTATTTGGCTAAATAAGCTCATAATATTCTCTGTGACTTTATTTTATATCAGGAACCGTCTCAATAGATGTATTTTTGGTTTACTGAGGGGTCCTTTTGAGTTTTTCTTTATTTGCAGCCCTTTATGTTTTTGTGAATGAAGTTTCCTAGTTTTTATTAAAAAAAAAAAAAAAAAACAAAGAAGAAGTTCAAGTTGACTGCAGCAGAGGGATGCGAGGCCCGTACAAGAGCGGATCTTGGTTACACGTGGGTTTATACGATTTTTTGTGGCGCCTGCCCAACTTATAGCCTTGCCGGGAACAGAGAACAGGCAAGCAGACAATGTTCCGAGGCTGCCCATCAGAACTCAGAAGTTTCCTTTGATTCTGGTTTGCGTTGCTAGTGGGGGACGAACACCTTGACCACCTAGCTTCAGGGTTGGTTATGCTTTATATTTCTACTGGAGGAACTTTGCTCGACGACCTAACTACACTCTAATTAAAGTATTGGGTAATCAGCATTATTTGCTTGGTGGTGGAATCATTGTGCTTCATTTGTCATCGACTAGTGCTGCTTGTACGATGTCGAATCGTTATGGTGTGGGCAGGCAAGAGAGAAACAAGGGTTTCGTCAAAGCCCAGAAGAAATTTGTGCCTAGAAATTCGAATACAAACCCTAGCGGGTCAAAACCAACTCTCTCAACCTCCCTCAGACAATCGAATTCAATGAAACAATCGGATGGCCGTGCTGGGAGCAGCGGTTCCGTTTCAACATCGATGGGCAGGGTTCAAATGGGCGAGAGTGGAGAATGGGTGTCCAACCGAGACCAGGGTGGTAATTTTGTGAACTACTTGCCACAAGACGAAGCAGTGGCTACTGGGCTTGGCTCTGAGGAAGGAGGATTGGATCCCATGGAATCCCAGAGAGTTGTTGATCTTTTAAATAGAGAGTTGTCTCGTTTGCTTCAGTTGAAACCGAGGGAATTTTGGAAAGAAGGTACTCATCTACAATTATTTCCTTCATTGCTGTATTTTTTTGATTCTGTACACGATGTTAAGTTATTATTTACGATCATAAGATGTTTCATTCGAGATTTTTATGGCGCCTGAAGTCATATCATTCGAGAAATTTAATTGCAATGAAAAGTGAATATGTTGAAATTTAAACTTTTTTGGTGTGGTGGGTGACTGAAACACACGGTCTTCATTCAACTTGACTGCTGTGCAAGGCCTGGCTGGAACTTCAACTGGAGTACTTGTAGAGTAGTTCTTATGTATAATCTTCCAAAATTGTCGAGTAGACTCAGGTTTCTTGTGGCGATGGAACTTTTATTCCATTAAGATCAACTTCATTTAATTTTTTAAGTAATTGGCATTGTTATCCATTTGATTCGTAATTTCATGAGTAGCAAAGCTTTTATCATATCTAGGGAAACGAAGGTCTCTCATTAAGCCTCAACGGTTAGAGTGCTTCTTGAGTGCATATTTTTATCTCTCAGTTCTCTATTGCTATGTTATTTCTGGAACATTTGCAGTGGCTACTGATACCTCCTTGCATGAGTTTCTGGACAGCTTCCTACAATTTAGAAGCAGATGGTATGATTTCCCATATCGTGGGGCCAAGGATATAGTCGCTGGGGTTATTGTTGGAGAGCTTGATTTAAGCCGTCGTGTTTTTATGGTATTGTATCGCATGTAAGTTTTTGTGAAGCTAGATTGTTATTCTGGGTTTCTAATTATGTTTTTTCCCCCTGGATTTTTGCAAACTGCACGTTTCCACTGCTCTTATCATCATAAATGTGTTTCTTGTAGTTCTTCTAATAAAGATCCAGGCGTTCAGGTTGCTCATACCCTCAATGTGAGAGACCATGAAGGTGGGTCTTCTCTTATCTTTCCCCAATTTATTGAAAACAGAATGTAGTTTAGCACAGAAATGATGAGCCTTAATTTATTTGCTGCAACATAATTTGTTATAGCATATTTTTCAGTAACATGGTAACAAGATAGTTTTATGTTATGGCTTCAGATTGGTGCTTTGCTAATGGCTGTTTGTAGGGATTATCTAATGATATGCTGATACGCAGACGCAGAGCAATTAGGCAACTTTTTTGCTGTTTTATTCCTCTACTTTCATATTACTTTGAGAACAAATTCTGATGTGGCATGGAAGATTAATTGAAATTAATTGTATGCTCCTGCTCTGCAAATTTTATGGGTGCATCAGAAGTGATTGGCACATGGATTGAGTAAGACTTGTCAGTCACCCCCAGTAGTGGTACTGGATTGTTAAAAACATGCATCGTTGTGTGAGATGTTGCTTGTAAACTAGTCCTTAGTGTAATTTTCAAAACAAAATAGCCTATGTAGTACAGAATTATTTCCATAATAGGCTAACTGTTTGGTAGTTACTTAATATTTGTATAGTTTCTGATTCACTGTTGTTCACTAATTCTGCCTGTAGTTCTTTTGCAGGAGAAAAAGTTGCTTGACTTGCCAAAGTTGTTAGATATATGCGCCATATACAGTCATGAAAATGAAGAGTTGACAAGATTGCTTGTAAGAATTTTTTTTAATAATAATGGTTTGCTGTGTATGAAGAACCAACTTCATATGCCTTAGGTTCCATAGGTTTTAATATATAACTTCAGAGCTTCTACCGAGAATTGCTATAGGAAGATTTTTTTTGTGACAATTTACCCTTAAAAAGTCTTATTTTTCAAGAATATTTTTAAATCATGGCATCGACCCTGTTATTATTATTTGTCTGATAGTCTTGGATCTGTCAATTTTAGTGATATGTTACTATGAAAGTGCCACTTATTTTGTCTACTATGCTAAGGTGTTTCCAGAATGTGAGTTTGCCCTTGATGCTTTTTAGTTTTATTGTCACCAACAATTAGATCCAGCAGATTAATATCTGTTAATTCTGCAGTGGAAACGCGTCAATCCTTGTTGAAATAAGATGAATATTGGTGCTTGATCATCTCTCTCCCCTGTTAAATCATAATATTATACTAGATTGCTTGTTTTGCTACGTTGTCTATTTCAATTGTGCCTTCCTCTGAGGTTGCGGGCTGACATGTGTAGAATGTTCCCGAGACAGTCTGGTTACTCCGTTATTGTCTGTGGTTCATGTCAACAATACTTTCTCTCATGTTCTTAACGCTTTAGATTGCCAAGGTTTACTTATATTGTTTTGGTCCTTCTATTTGTCTGAATCCAAGTGATGAAGTCTGAGTTTTCTACAGTACCTTCTTGTGCTTGTTAGATATCATAAGTATAAATTATAATAAAACTGTCCATGGACCTTGACATGGAAGATTAAAACTATATATTTAATGCAGTTTATGACATAATACAAATCCTATGTAAATAAGTGCACGGGAGTTCAATCCTTGCAGTTCCCTATTCTTCTTAATCAAACAAAGAAAAAATTTGTATGCAGTAATTTCCTTATTTTCAAATCATAACATGTTAAGTGCATGATTTTTCTATGATAAGATGATCAGTGTATGGTTTTTGCAAACAACTGTATGGTTTTCAATTAAATCATACACATGCCATATTATTATTGAGGAGTGATGCCCATATTGTTTTGAAAGGAAAACTTCGACAATAAAGATATAGGAAATTAATTGCATATATGTCTAGTCTTTAAACAAAACTTAAGGCACAAGATAGGTGCTTTGCCCTCTATTCACAAACCTACTCTCAGTAATAGCTTAATTTTTTGAATTAACGTCTCTATTGGTAAAAGCTTCTGTGCTTGCTTTTCTCTCTTCACCTCTCATGTCATCACATCTTTCAGGTCAGAAATGCTTTGAATGCTCAGCCTTGGATCCATGATAATTTGACAGCTGTGATATCACATTTTCTTGGAATTGCCCACACAATGCATGAAAGATGCAGCTCATCATTGGAGGTACTTGTTGTAAATTGACAATGTTAAAGCATGTTATGTCCATGATTCATCAGTTTCTTTTCTGTATCTTTCTAAGCTTTCGTTAGTTTGTTCTTTCCATTGCAAGTATAAATTATATAAGGAGTCTTATACTGTTTGGTAAATTAGAAATTAAACCATGGTGTTAAACTGTTTGGTACAGTTATCTGTAATTTCACTTGATGGATATCTTGCTGTAAATCCTATTCTTTTTTTTTTCCGTTTAGCAGTAGTTATTTAGCAGTAGGAAATCAATTCGTGATTGTATAAAACTAGTGTGCTTAGTTTGATCTTGGTTTAATATAAATTGGTGAGTTTTTTGGAATATGTTTTGTTTAATTTTGAATTAAATAAACGATCCTAAATTGATCTTATTCACTTGCTAATAAAAATGTTTCAGTTTAGAAAGTTATTTACTATTGATTTAACTCACAATAGCAAGTTAAATGAACTCTAGTTACACTAATGTAAATTGTTTAATTTTTTTTCCTGGGATTATATGCAGGTTTTATTTTCTTCTGGAAAACTTGATGATCACATTGCTGCTCGGCTGCAAGCTGATCTGCTTGAGGTGAGTTTTTGTATGATGCGGAGGCTGTTTTTGGTTAATATCAATATTTTGAATTTAAATTGGATAAAATGGAAAGGGAGCAAACCTAAATGAAGTAGTAATGTGTATTCTGGGGAGAGCATTGATTGCGCTAGGATTATTCCTTTCAGCCTTTTATTTGAGATTCTGTTAGGACCCAACTAAATGCTTCCAAATAGATTACCAAATGACTTAATAAAGAAAAGGTTTACTCTCTTTGTTAAAAAATATAAAGTATTTTTAATCGAATTTCATCCCTCAATAAAGTAGTTATTATCTTCCATATTTACCCCTATGTAATAGGGTGTTTCATTCTAAAATAAATATAGAGTGATTATTCATAGGGGCACTTTTGAAAAAAATGCAATGATTACACCTTGAAATACTAAAAATCCTTTAAATTTTTTAACATCCAACTTTTCAATAAATACTTTACATATTCGAATGGAGGGAGTATAAAGGAAGTTGAAAAGAAAAGTCAAAGTACATTACTTCCAGATACAACACCTATTGATTAATGAGACGCTTTTGCTATAGAATACTAACACCAAACATAGATGATACAAATGACACTGATGGCTGACTACACTGATTACAGTTTCAAAATTCTAGCAAATAAACTGAGTAGAAGGACTTGAACACTTACTAAACAAGCATTCCCTACCAACACAACAACGCAGAAGTAGAACCTCAAATACAGCCAATTTTCCTACATTCAAGAGGTTGGCTCTCTCCACCAAAGTTCTGACCCAAGATTCTTTTCTGAATTTCATTCTTCTCAGTTCATTTCTCTATACATGCACTGGCAACTTTTTAACTGCTCCTTACCTTTCATTACCCCCTTCTTTTGCTTCTTCACTTTTCTATCTTGTATATAAGCTGCTGTTTCAGTACCCATTTTCTGCCCCTATGCTGCTCCTCTATGTCTCCGTGTATGTGTCTTGGTGGCAGTAGTGAGTTGGGACCTATCAGACTTCTTCCTTGAATAACCATTTCTCTCCAGTCAAGTGTGCCCCCTGTTATATGGCTGGCATTGGTTTCCATCATTCTGTTTAATTTCCTTCTCTCGTGTGTGAAGTAGCCCTGGTTCCAGCAAAGCTTGGAAATTATCACAGGCATGACCTAAACAATACCATAGCTCCAGAAAACATGCATGCATTGCTGCTGATGAGTAGATTATTAATATGTTCACCGTCTCTCATATAACACAATGCCTTTCCTCTTCCCAGACTTTTTATAATTCCTCGTTTAGTTTCTGCAGTAGTGTTCAAGGAAGAGAATATATCCAATCGCTATTTAGTTTACTCTCAAATGCAAAATGCTCAGCATTTGTTACCAAGTTCTTTGGGTTTTCTAAACATAAGTTCAATGTAATTTGTTTCTATAGGTGATCGACTTTATAAATGATGCAGTTGTATCAATGGATGCTTTTGTTAGTGCATATGAACTGGCAGCTGTATTTTTTTCTTGCCCAGTTGAAATAAGGTATCTTCTACAGCTGAAATTAGTGGAATTTTACTTTTAGAATGAGTGCAGCAATTTTTCATTTTAAGAGTGCCATTACAGTGGAGTTATCATTTGGTATTGATTCTGGTTTGAGGGGATATTTGTTATGCAATCACATATGGTATTTGTGCTACTCATGCTTAAATTCTGAGGAATATCTCTTTCATAAATCACTTGTCAAACCCTCTATAATGATTTTTGATAACGTCAAAAGTTCTCCTGGTAAATTTTGATTTCTGTTGATTTGCATTCTTATAGTTCTGGAAATGAGGAGCTGCTAAGCTTTCTCGCTAGATTGCATGATTCACTACTTCCATCCTTGCTAAAGGGCTTCCATACCATTATTGTTGATGAACAAGATGGAAGAATGTCAATCATTGTTGTAAGTTTGAAGATGTTACAGATGAGATTGGTGAAGTTTGGTTGGCAATTATTGCACTTTTGCTATCTTAGTGATGAGGTGTTCAGAGATAACTACCCTCTTCCCGCTGCCACAAAAATGTTTCCTGCCACTGTAGAGGACCCAGTTATCAGAGCAGATATCCTGGTTCAAACATTAAGAGAGATCAATGCAGTTTCACTACAATTACAGGAAAACCATCAGAAGGAGACATTTATTCAACATATTGCAAAGAGTTACAACATTTTGAAAAGGGTTGAAAGCTTACGGGATGATGGTAAATGATCTTGCACATACACTAGTTTTACTTGCAGAAGAGTTTAGTATGGCTTTACTTGCACGAGTTTTTGTTGGGCTTAGAATGGTTTTGTGTAGAAGTTTGATGCTGAAAAGTCTCTTCAAGTTGGCCTAAAACTTTTCTGCTCTTGTATTTTATAGAAGGGAATTTGATCACTTTGACCTGTCAATTAAGTTTCTCTCTAGCAATTGTTAGCTTGATTTTCTATCAGTCATAGTTGGTGGCATTCTTGCACCTATTCTTTTCTAATTGAGTTGCTTTCATTCAGGTTGGATATTCATTGATGATGAACAGTTTCAGTATATGTCTGGGATTATGAATTCTCCAAAAGAGATTTATAAGGATCCACAGCCTGCAAGAACCCCTATGGAGAGCAAACCCTTGCAGACGGATGAAGATGCTGCTATAATTGAGTCCAAAATCAGTCAAATAAGGGACCTATTTCCTGATTATGGTAAAGGGTTTTTAGGTGCATGTCTTGAAGTCTATGATCATAATCCGGAAGAGGTCATTCAAAGGATTTTGGAGGGAACCCTCCATGAAGATCTGCAATGCTTGGACAGATCGCTAGATATAGTACAACCAGCCCTGTCTACTACTGCTAATAGAAATGATAAAGGAAAAGGCAAACTAATAGACTCTTTGTCAATGCCCTCAAATACTGCAGCAGCTTTTAGCCGGAAGCAACAGACAGAGGGACCATTGGTTTCATCCTCCGTATCACTTGGAAAATATGTGAGGAAATTTAAAGCTGACTTGTCCGATGCGAGTATCCTGGATGAAAGGGATGAAAAAGACTCATTGAAAGCTGCTGCCCTAATCTCACAATATGAATATGAAGACGAATATGATGACTCTTTTGATGATTTGGGTTTTAGTGTGGCAGACTCTGGAGTAGAAGAAAATGAAGTATTAGGGGACGCTGTGAAACCAGGTAAATCGTGGCTTACTGGGACTGGAGAGACTGCTCAAAATGCCCCAAGTTCAAAATGGGGCTCCAGGAAAAAGCCCCAATATTATGTCAAAGATGGCAAGAATTACAGCTACAAAGTGGCTGGTGCTATAGCAGTTGCAAATTCAGATGAGGCTTCACTGGTTAATCAAGCTCAAGAAGAATTAATTTATGGTCTTGGACGTGGTGGCAACCTTCCTCTTGGTGCGGTAAAGAAGCTGGCAGATTTCTATAAGGACGACAATGACCGATCCCCAGGTCCTGAAACACAAGGGAGGGGGAGTTTGGGCAATTCTGGTGGTAGGGGGGGAAGGAAGGAAGGGGGAAAGTCAAGTGCTTCTCAGGACAAACAATCTAATGCCTCTGAGGGTGAAGGAAGAGGTAATATCTCGAATTCCAGAGGCAGGGGAAGGAGGGGAGGAGGAGGAGGAAGGAACAACCATTACAGAAAGGACCGAGCCATGAAGAAGCACTTCTCTGGGTTGAGTGGTTATTAGAAGCAAGCATATGCGAGTCTCATATACATGTTCCTTGTCAAATGTTCCATATGCCCATTTCTGCCCTTGATGGATAGACATGGCGCGTAATACGTTAGCGACGGTCAAACCTTCGCCGCTTCTGGTATTTGCGTGCTCTGCTTTTTAAGTTTTTGCCCGGAAGGGGGGAAAATATCTTTTTGTCAAAGGATTAAAGCAATCCAGCATGATATTGAGAAGCGTTTTAATGCAATGTGTGTTACATGAGCAATCAAGGAAGGGGATACTAAATTACTTTTAGGTAGATAAATAATATCGAGTATTTTTCTTTTCAATTTTGGATAGCATCAATCTGTATGATGCAAAAAAATTTGAATTACAGTGCACAATCTATCTATTTATCTAACTATTCTATTCTAATTGAATTGAATTGAATTTTTTTTTTAAAATCCGTCTTTTTATTGTTGATAAACAGTTGCCTCGTGTTTTGTTTTTATGTTAGTGTTATTCATCCTTTTGTGGGCCCACGTTTGATGTGAAATTTTGTTACAGAACCGAAATCAAATAGACGTGGAAAAACAAAAACATAAAACTGACACAGTGGTGCTCGAGCCAATATATAATGGCTAAAAAAAAGCAGCAGCAGCCAAAAACTAACAATTAAAAATAAAAATAGGGAAAAACTAATAAAGAAAAAACAAATCCAAACCATTATAAATCAGTAAGGATGGATCTAAGTAACCAAAAAAAAAAAACAAAATAGCTACCATAATCAAAATCCAATCACAACCAAGGAGAAAAAATCTACAATCTTTATAAAGGAAAAGGAAATCCAAAATCCATGAAGCTACAAAAATTAAAATCAAATAAAAAATAAAGCAAAAGCTATTAAACAATTATTACGGAATAAAATATCAGAAAGCATTTTGGAGAAATAAAATTAAAAAAACTCATCAAAACAAAAAATTAGACAAATATACAACACATTCTTATAAATGTACAGAGATTCAATATTCATTAAGAAAAGCAATAGAAGAAGATGATGAAAAGGAAATAAAAAAAAAACTGAGAAAAGAGAAACTCCATGCTTGACTTCATTAGTCGTTCCGTTCTCTGAAAAATAAGACGATCAAGAGAGAGCATATTTAAGTGACAACAAAGTTTGATGAGCATATCTGTGCCGAGGACGAATGTTCGATGAGAAGATATGTAGTCACGGTGAGGTAAGAGGCAAACCAAGAGAACGAGCGAAGTTTGAGAGAGGGATGAGAAGAGAAGTAATAAAGAATGTTAAACCCATATTTCTTTTATTCTTTATTTTTAATATGCAAGTGATAAAAAATTTATATAAAATATAAATTTTTTAATAAGAAGCATTTTTTATGAGATGTGAATAATATGGCTTATTTTTCAGATTTCATGCACTTCGAGGTGTTATTGATAACATAACAGAATAATAACAATTTATTATTTATTTGTTAATATGCATGGGATAAAAAATTTATATAATTTTTTTTCTATATATAGGGATCTTATTTGTATTTTCAGTATGTATAAGAATAAAAAATCTTATAAAAAAATTGGTTTTTAAGTTTTAAATTCATTATAAATGATAGACGTGACATCTATTTTTTGTTTCTTGAATTTTTATATGATAATAAATTGTTGAATAAAATATTAAGCTAGAAAATATATAAAAGAACATTTTATTGTTTAAATTTTAACTTGTGTGAAGATAACACGTCATGAAATAATTTGTTTCTTTTGTTCCATATTTTTATTTTTTACCCTTTCAACATGTTTTTACCTATAATAAAGAAGCAAGTGATGAATATGGAATGTGCCATAGTCATCTGAGGGCTCATTTGTTTTGCTTTTTAAAAAAATATATATTTTGTGAGTTTTTATAATGTTTTTTTAATCTAAAACAAAACGAGTCGTTCATATAATATGAAGGAAAAAATAATTTAAAACAAAAAGAATTTGCTAGGTATTTTTAATTTATATCGATATAAATATTGTAGACTAGAATGTCTAAAAATATGAATGGAACGAAACTGGACAACAAATAAATGAAATGAATGAAGGAACAAAATATTACATTGTTTGGGAGTGTTTATTGGAGGGATGGATGATTTTGTTTAATTTGAGAATTATTATAAAATTAATATATTTAAATTAGTTATAATTATGTAATTTCAGTTTTAAAAAAATAAAGTTTTAAAAAATAAGAGTAAGCAAGCAAGATGAGATAATTTTGTAACAATATTATTTATATTAAGTTATTGGTTCATTGACCACCAAATCAAAGTTAGAAAAAAAGAAAGAGTGAATCTATGATAGCTAATAATAACTCGAAATGTCATCCCAAAATGTTTCAATCTCTCTCTGTTTTTTTTTAAAGAAATATATATTCCACAGACAATCCATTTCCCTCCTTTTCTTTTCCTATTTTTTGGTCCAACTCTTTTTTATTCTCCTTAAATTAAGGATTAAATTTTCCATGTATCGCACAGATTTAAAATCTGATTAAAGTTTAAAAAAGATTTTTGTTTTATAGGTATTTTTGTTGCTTTCTCAATTTTTTTTTCATTTTCATGAACTTAACATTTTAAATCTCAATGACTGTCTCTCAATTCAATTACAAGTGGCGCTTACAGCAGGAAATTTGGATGCATCTTGACAAATGCTTCTAGACGTATCAGGATGCATTGAAGCGTGCAGATAATGTTACTTTAATGATTTAATTTAATCACCAGGGCGTGTCAGCCATATGGCAATTGAGACAATTTCCTTAGCCTTCCAAAACAATTTCTTAATACCCCTATTATATATATAATTAATATTTATATTATTATATATTTAATTGTAGATGAAAGAGAAATAAAAATTATTAGTTGTTTTTTTGTTGAAAAATTCCAATCATTCCAAATATAACACTAATTATTGAGTGAGCTCATCATTTACATGAAAAAGAATAGTGCAATCCATAACACACTAATTTGCAGTACATTAATTTGTTCTAAATCCCTTTCACAGTCTTACTTTTTGTTCTCTTCTTTTCTTATTCTAAAGTCTAAAATGTTGACAAATATTTGTATCAAAACTTTGTGTAGTTTTAAGACCATCAAAATGATACCTTTAAACTTGATTAAAATCTTGTTTATAATATATATATATATATATATGTATATGTATATATATTTGCTATTGGCTTTTTACATTAATAATTTTTATTATTAATTTTAATTATATTCTTTTTGTTAAAAATGTATAGCCATCCCATATCAGTATTAATATTTACATTTTATTCCAATATACAAGATGAGTAAAGGCACCTTATCAACACTAACTTTTATCTCACTATTACATTAATTTAGTATTTTATTCAAATCATTATATTATAAGATTTCAATATATAAATTTGTAAGAGATGATAAGTGGATTTAAAAAAAATTAATTACATATGCTAGGCCCTGTTAGATTTTACTAGTAATTTTGTTTCAGGCCTCAAAGCTTTTTCACACGTCCCACCTAACCATATGCATAATGCTCTTTTTAAGTGTATACAAACCAATAAAATCTTTGTAAGGGGAACCCAGGAAATAACGCAAAGGACGAAACTCGATATTAAACTAATGTATTTAAGGTTTTTTTATAAAATCAAATTTAAATAAATAAATCATAAGTGTAATAAATTAATAAGAATTAGGGCAGGTGATGTGATACATTTGGGAAAAAAAAAGTCATTTTGTTTTAATTTGAATAAAAATGTAGTATCCCCTCAGAGCCCAAAACCTGTATCACGGGATAGAGACCTCCTGCCTGAGAGGAAAGCGAAATTTTCGTAGACTAAGAATAAAGAAAGAAAGACAGGAAAAGTAAAAGGAGCACGGAAGTGAGGGAATTGGCTTTGGATGTGGCTCAAAATTTAATTTAAATGACTCAGACTTTACAATGGGAAAAGGTGAACGAAAAGTTTATCAAAAATGTGAAAGTCAATGGTACCTTCTTTTGTTGTTTAGGTCGCTTCCAGTTCCTGCGGGTTTAAGCAGCTTTTCTCTATTCAGTATTTACTCACGGCAGCAGCGCATAGGCTCGCTCGCATCCTGTTTTTGCTTTCCACGCAAAACCATCCGCACAAAACCATTCTGATTTCCGATGAAGAACTCCGGCAACCACGCCCTCGTCGCCGTCCCCAGATCCCCTGCCAAGTCTTCTTCAATGGATCACAAGATTTGGAGCAGGTTGCCGCCCGAACTCCTCGAGCACGTCCTCTCTTTCCTCCCTCTCAAGACCTTCTTGAATCTCAGATCCACTTGCAAGGCCTTTAGGTCTCTCATTTTCTCTCCCTCCTTCATCGCCAAACACTCTTCATCATCATCATCTTCTTCTTCGACTTCTCCGCCTTTCTCGTCGTTTTTCTTGTTGTCTCATCCCCAATTTCACTGTCAATTTCCTCTCTACGACTGTTTGCTTGGCAATTGGCGTGACGTCTCTCTCTCTTTCTCCGATTTATTTCACATCTCCGCGCACTCTGCTCTAATCTCTTCCTCTGGTGGCCTTTTTTGTTTGTCTGACTTCAGTTCATCTTCCCTGCTTGTTTGCAACCTCCTGGCCAAATCCTGCAGAAAGATCGATCTTCCAACAACCTACTATCGCCTGGAGCATCTTACTCTTGTCTCTACTGCGATCGGTTACAAGATATTCGTTCTCTCTTCTGAGTCAGCCTCGAACAGTGCCTTCGTCTACGACTCAGTTGCACTTTGTTGGGAACGATTTGATTGTTCTGACTTGATTCTCAGCGACAACTACCACCAGCAAGGTGTTTTGTACAGTGGGGGTTTATACTTTACGACTCCAGAACCATTTTCAGTGGTTCGCTTTGATTTTGGGAGCGGAAAATGGCTGAGGCCCAATACCTCTCTGCCCAGCCACGTCTCGTTTGTTCGATTGGTCAGTGACGGAGAGAAGTTATATCTGGTGGGGGGTATAGGAAGCAATGGAATCTCAAGGAGCATAAAGATATGGGAAATGGGTGAAATGGGGAATTGGGCGGAAGTGGAGACGTTGCCAGAGTTGATTTGCAGAAAATTTGTGTCGGTTTGTTATCATAATTACGAGCACATTTACTGCTTTTGGCATCAAGGTATGATCTGCATTTGCTGCTATACATGGCCAGAGATCTTGTATTTCAAAGCTTCAAGGAGGACTTGGCATTGGCTTTCCAGGTGCCCCTCTTTGCCCGAGAAATGGAGCTGTGGTTTTAAGTGGTTCTCTTTTGTTCCCAAGCTGTATGCGCTTGTCTGACTCAGTTTCTCTTCATCTTGACTTTGCGTATCTTTCACTGATCGTGTAATTCTTTTCACATGTTAGCATGTTGTGTGCTTTCCTGAAATCTGCTAAATTTTGGAATCCAGTTTTGTTCGTGTGCCTTGTGTAGGGATAGATGATCCTGCCTGTCGAGAGTGTATTTAAGTAGGATTGTTTTTGTATGAATTCACTGTACATTTTCACTTGATGTGACATATTTCGAACTAAATTTGGGTTGCCGTATTTTTTTTTAAATTTTAACAATTTTAATTCTAAAAATCTTGTTGACCCTTCACGTTGAATGAGAGGAGGGTGGGCAAAAAAAATACTCCAATATAAATTATTTTTTAAAAAGTTGAATGTTAAAAAATATAATACTTTTTAATTTTTTAAAATATAATTATTGTTTTTTTTTAAGTGATCTTAATGATGAATGATTTTATATTTATTGTAGGGTATTTAATAGTGATAAATATAAAAAGATATGATTAATTTGAAAGTAGGTAAATACTTTATTAGAAATAAGATTCGATTAAAAATGCTTTATATTTTTTAACGGAAAGAGTATTAAAAAATAGAAGAATTTTTTTCTTTTTTAAACAAAATTATTCTTTTAGTTTTCCCCTCCTTACAGAAAAAATAGAAAAAAAAAATAAATGATGAAAAATATCTTTTTTCTAGTTTTCTCTCATTTCAGAAAAAGCCCAAATATGTGCTCTCCTTAGCCCTTACCTATCAACATGAAAAGATCAAAGTTTTAGCGCGTGCAATTTGCACAAACAGACCAACAAACTCACCAGAAATATTGACATTCTTTTGCTGCAACGATTTGTGTTGATAAACATCATGGCACAAAGTAACCATTTGCCGCACGCCCATTGAGAAACTTTGCATTTTGTGAAAAATTGAGTTTCTTCCTTGTGATGTGATTGGCAGTTTATTTGGCGTCTCCTTTCTATCGACATTCATTTTTATTTTATTTTTGTGGAAGAACTGGATCGTCTTTATATTTATCGACAAACAATTGACTTTCAAAATGCGCAGGGACGAATTCGAAGGGCATGGATTCTCTCCTCTTTCTTCCTACCTTCTTCCATTTTTTTTCCTTTTTAACCATTATATTAAAATTTAGACGATTTGATTTGATTTTCTATAAAATTATTATTAAATTATTAAATTATAAAAAATGTAAATAATAAAATTTAAACTACTAAAATTTAATAAGAACAATTTTAAAATACAATAAAAGTAAAATAAAATGAAATATTTTGAACGAGATCAAGTTTAGATTATCAAAAATTATGATCTAATAGTTAGAAATTAAAAAGAAGAGGGGAAGGAAAATGAGAGAACCCTCTCCCGAATTTGAATTTCTAACCTCATGATTATAAATGACTTCTCAATTTATTGACCGAGTAAAATGACCATTGTTCTGGTATAAAATATTAGAAAAATCCTATACCAAAAAACAAAAAAGATTAGAAAAATCCACCAACTAAAAGAAAATATAAAACATTACCGGCTATTGTTGAGTCAAATCTTACCTCTCCTAAAATATTAGTATATATTTAAAAAATTGAAATTCATAAATGGACTTTGTCCGGGATACGCCCAATAGATCCCGCTGATTTTTCTATCGCTTTCTTTGAATACTGGCTTAAAGAAAAAATAATTTATTTAGCATATTGATGATTTACCGTATGAAAAAAAAAAAATACTCTCTTTTATGCTTGATCGTCTGAAAAAACCTTTTTTAATTTATTCTTCTGAAATAAAGCATCTAAATTTAATCTCTTAAACAAATTCCTTTTAACAAAGTCAAACAACTTGGAATGGTATTAGTGATACATTCCATGTTTTTATCAAGACATGCTGCACCAGGCAGCCCTGACAAGAGTGTCCATCTAATTGAAAATCCGAAGAAGAAATTTGGAAATTTCAGACAATAATCAACAGGTCAACATATTACTGATTTCATTTGACAGGAAAGCAGAGTTATTAGAGAAAAATTCCAAATGCTTCAGACGGGGCATGTATCAGGCAGCATACAAGTAATGTGAGAATTTGGAAAATTCAGACAATAAATCACCACTATATATATAATCGATCGCATTTCCTTTTCCAATAGATTTTAAATCACGCTATCAATAGCGTAAATCCATTAAGAGAAACCTTTCAAGTACCAACTTTGAATAAATCAATTGAAAATAATAGGAAGCAAAGACATTACATTCTAAATTTCCTACACTTTCTAATTATCATCTTAATTAATTCAAGAGAGATGTGAGAATAACGTTTAAGTATTATAGCTATTTATGAATCCGTATAACTGTTTCAAGGCTTGAGAGCCAGTGCTAAGCCAAACTTGGGACTCCTCTCCAAAGCTTGGGTTTGAAAGGCACCAGAGATTGTCAAGAATGATTTGGGAATAACCTCGTGCTGCAAAAGAGCCGTAAGATTGCCGTGGTTGTTCAGCTTTGCCTTAACGAACGTCTGACCATTGATTATATAGGAACATCCAACTGTCAACGTGTTCTCGTTTGTAGAAAATCTTCTGCTAATCTCTCCTACAGCAGCTCCCCCATTTAAATGATCAAGATGATGCAAGTACGATGCCCTCAAGGAGTCTCCTTTGTCAGCACTGAAAAAGTGAAGAAACTAATTATATCTCCAAGTAATAACATAAAACTCCATCCTAATATTGAACTGATTCATGCCCGAAATAGCTTGTACATATCTTGATAATCAATGTAAGTAATAATTCTTCAAACTCATGCAACACTATATGAAAGGCTTCATCTCATTTACTCAATCAAAAAGATGCATTAATTGTGCTTATTTGAACAATCAAACATTAAAGCACATTGAGTACTTACAGAATTACTGAAGCATTGGAATTAGGCTTCGTCAAGCTCACCCCAGCGTTGTACTTTGCAAACTTTCCAGTAGCAGGCAAGAAGCTCATTTCGGCTCCAAAGGCAATGCTGGGTGTTCCAATTGTTGCAGAAAAATCAACAGCAGGGGATTGGCTTAGACCAACAGCGGTTGTAAAAGCCACGTGATCATGAAGATACTGAACTTCTAACTGCAATTAAAGGTACAATTATGATTTATCAGAGAAAATGATATATCAGAGTCAAAAAATTGCATCTCAATAATATAACAGTACCTTGCTTGAGCTGTAATCAGGTAGTTGGATTGAAGCTATGGTTTTTGTAGAATGCACAATATCTGGTACTGTGACTGTTGTCAAAACCTGTCCAAAAAAAAAAAAATCATTTACTATCAAGGCAGAATTCAGAAAAAAGACTTTAGATTTCGAAATTAATGAAATAGAAGCCAGGAAGCTATACCTTAGATTCAGTATCAACTTTGACATCAATTGTGCTATCATTGCACCTAAATTTTGCTACCACATCCCCAGAGGGCAGTCGTCCTTTCTTCACCAAAGTGGAGTTCAAGTCCTGGTGTTCGAGAGGTAAAGATTACGAATACTTGTCAGAAATGAAACATGCGAAAGAGGGAAATGAACATACAAAGCTGCAAATAAATTCGAAAATAAGTCCCTGCCTCTTTGAAACACAAAAAGTATTGGGGAAACACACATTTAATTATATAGTTTAACAAGAAATCACAACATACAGAGCGGAACTGGTATGCCATGTGTTTATATATGCAAGGCAGATCTATTCATCAAAACTCCCAATATCAGGAAATAAGTACAGGGGGAAAGACTTGCAAAGCAAGTGAAAAGATGGAACTAAACGAAAAATTCCCGCATTAGATAGTTTTCGCATCCTATTGATTCGGTAATCAATGACAAAGCAATTCATGAATTCATCAGTATAGAGACAACAGACGACAAATTCATACAAATTAGAAGTAAATACAGCAAGTTCGGAATCGAGATCGGAAATGAAATAAACGCACCAGGACATTACCGCTGGAGGAGGTAACGGTAATCCTCTGTTCAGAGGTAAAATCCTTGTCGAGAAGATCTGGGAAGGCAAACAGATCAGGGACAACAGGCGCAGAAACAGAAAAGGAAATGACCGCGAGACTTACCTCTAGATTTCTGGCCTATGGCCGAGAAGAGTCCAGGTCCCTTGCTAGACATCTCAGCAGAGAGGGAGAGAAAGAGTCTGTACAATAGAGAACATAGAACTCAAGGGTCTGGGTTTGGGGTTTATGTAGGGTTTCCACTTTCCAAAACCCTTCCCCCTCGGCGGGCTGGGCAGAAATTTTGGATATTTATAATTATGAGTTTTTTGAAGCCGTCTTGAACCAAACTTACAAAATGCCGTAAAATCAGAATCGTTTCTTGTGAGAGAAGAGAACCACTTCATCATGCATCATGGCTTGGTTGTCATTAGTATTAGAAATTAATTTGTCACACGTACTGTAACTTACTTCCACGAGTTGAGGTATGGAGGTCCTCTCAAAATTTTGATGGACCCATTTAGAACTTCGAAATGAGACGAGGATTTACCTTTAGTGATGACGAGATTGACCTATCAAATTTTCATACGAATGGAAAGAAGAGGAGAAAAACTCAAAGGAGAAAAACAAAAAGAAAAAGAAAACATAAAACATACATTCAAAATATTAATAATCCATAATAATACGACTAAGACTCGTGTCTAGTTTTGAAACATTTTAAATATATACTTTCTAAAATAGTTATAGTCAAGTTATAATTCATTTAAAAATAATTTTATTGTTTTAAAAGTAGATAATTTTATAGTTAAAGATAGCCTATATACATGAAGGAATTAAAGCAAGGCACACAGTCATGGCCTGCAAAAGTTGAAGCAATTATGCTGGGAGTGGGAGGGGCGGCGAGGCTGGCTTTGTTTACTTTTGGATTCACGAGGATGAGGGCGTGCCTGGAGGCTCATAACGGTGGGAAGTTTGACCACATTGGAAGTGAGTGGGCTCGTTATGTATGTATGCGGGGAGATGCAAACTCGGTCTTGACAGACATGAGCTCGAGGAGGCATTGGTTAATTAGTGGCTTTAAATTAAAATCTGGAATCAGTCTCGGAGAGGGAATTCCATTGCATCTCAACGCCTTTTGGTTCAAGTCATCGTAGATAACCCAGGACGAGGAATGACGTGAAGGTGAAGGGAAGCAGGCTTTGCTCTTACGCCTTCGACACCTGGCTCCATATAACTCTGCCTCCCGCAGTTTTGTTGAATAATCACAAGATTCCAATGCTCCCGTTTACTGATTTAAGTTTACCAGTTCCCCTGCCATTTCTAAAAACCCTTCTGTCATTTGCATTGCTGGTCCTACGTATCATTCACTAGTTTGAGCGCACAAGGATTAGCACTATCTCATAGTTTTATTTTGCAAGACCTGCCTTTGGCTCTCAATGGTAAAGGCTGGCCAGCGGCTTTGGCCCTTCTTTTTTTTTTTTTTTTTAAGGATTAAGATTCAATTTTACTCCTATATTTATTTTTTAGGAGGACTAGGTGGGATAAATTTATTCTTGAATTATTTTTTCAAGAAACGAAAAACCCCTTCCATTAATGAATTATTAACTTTGCAGTTATATGTCAACGTGACATGTGCGTAGGACCCATGCACAGTGATATGTAAGACTCTAATTATGTGTATTGATGCTAATCTACCCCTTTCTAAGAGCGCTAAGCATCCTAAAATTTTGTTAAAATAAAATTTAAAAAATATGTAAAAATATTATGTATTTTAATATTTAATAATTTAAATATTATTATTTAAAATATTACATTATCCAATTTTATATTTCAATATTTTATAATTTTGTGTTAAAAATGAAGGAAATGAACCTCCAAATTAATAAAGGAATTTTTTCTTCTCATCTCTCCATTTTTTTCTATTAATTAATTTTTTTAGCACATTAATGAAATAAGCGATATTTTTTAAATAAACATTTTTGTTATTATTTTTTTGGTCTTGATTGTCATTTTTATTTTATTTTACTCCTAACACTGCGGCGTACAAAGAGCATTAAATTTGGGTAGTGCAATATTTTGGAGAAAGATTGTTAGTTGACTAAAAAATTAAGATACTTAATTGATATTAAAAATATAAGTAAGTTTTAACATGCATAAAAAGTGTGACGATTTGGGCATTGTCTTGGAAAGAAAGTTGAAAATTGATATATATAAAAATTAAGCAGTCATCAATAAATTTATAAAATGTTAATTTGAGTTATTAATATTTAAAACATAATTTTAAATAATAATATTTAAATTATTAAATATGAAAATAAATATGAAAATATACAATATTTTTAAAATTTATTTTAATAAAATTTCAAAATGCCTAATGCTCCTAGAAAAAAACTATAGAGTGCTTAGCGCTCTTGAAAAAAGAGTTAAGAAATAAATTAGCATCAAATGATATAGTCAGAGTCTTACATGCCATTGTGCATAGGCCCCATGCACATGTCACATAAGCATATAATGGCAGAGCTAACGGTTCATTAATGAAGGAGATTTTTTGCTCCTTGAAAAAATAATTTAGGAATAAAATTACCCTACTTAAGAGTATAGATAGAGTGTTTATCGCTCCTAAAAATAAATATAAAGACAAAATTAAACTTTAACCCTTTTTTAATTTATAAATATAAAAAATATTTATAAGTTTAAAAAAATTATTATACATAAGATTAAATTTAGAAAAATAAATTTAAATTAATACACATCACAATAAATATGTGAAACTTAAACATTCAAATCCAATATTAAACAATAAGATCAAAATTAACACTAATAAAAATTAAATTTTATTAATATTATTAACTAAATCTTAATAACTAAATAAATAAGGGAGGAATCTAAGGTTTTTATTTCTTTTTAGTTAGAAATTTAGCCTTTTATTTTTTTTCAAATTGAAATTTTTAAGAAAATAATAAAAGGCTTGCTCTTTTACTTTTGAATTTAAAATAGCTAGTCTTTTTAACCTGAAATTACTATTTTCTATCTTAAAATAATAACTCAGCTTTAATTATTTTAGATCTTAAAAGTACTGGCCAAACGAATTCAACTCCAACTGACAGTTCAACAAGTATGCTCTATTGCCTTCGTTTTTCCAAATCAACAAAAAGTGAATTTATAGACAGAGACACGAGACAGGATTTTACTCTTTCTAACTTCAGTAACAAAGAAAATTCAAAACTAAAAAATGCTGACACGCGTTGGGATGACCTATCAAGTTTCCGATATATGCAAAAAGATAGGTCCAAATGTCGATCCACCAATCACCTCGTTATAACATAGATGGGAATCCGTATCACATGCAGTGAATTACGTGCAGGAGATGAAAAGAGAAAGGATCATAGCCGTTCATTCTATCTAATAACAAAGAAGAGAGATATGTACAAAAACACTTTACTCCCGCTGTTCAAGAATACATGACATTTCTTTCTTTTAAAATATAATTATTATTTTTTAAAAAAATACTCTTATTAAATAAATTATTTTATAATTATTTTAAGATAAAACATTCTATTAAATAAAGATAAATATAAAAAATATGACTAGTTTGAAGACAAATAATTCACTTATTGAATAAGATTTAATTAAAAATATCTTAAATTTTTTAATAGATGAAGTATTTTTAAATATACAAACATTTTTTTACAATAAAAATTACTTAACAATTTAAATCCTAAAAGCTTACTTTATAGTGGATGCAAAGCGTGGATTTTATTTAATAAAAAAATATTTTTATTTTTTATTTAAATAATAAAAAACTTACTTTACAGTTTAAATCATGAAAAACTATGAAAAATTAAGTTTTAAAAGGGTATAAAAGAAGTTTGTGTGTTTTGCAGAAGATAAGACTTGTGCATATATCTCTTCTCAACCACCATATAAGATGAATGATCAAAGACCTCTTACTTATTATTCACTGCATAAAATTCATTGCACGTGATTCAATCAAACCCCATGAATGAAGGTGGTGGTGGTGATGACAGATAATATAGGAAGCACAAGACCACAGGTACATCTGCTATTTAAAAGCTGGGACATTTGTTGCCATTTGCATAAAATCTTGCTGCCAACGTGGATTAAATGAATAGTAAATCAGGGACAACGAAAAACAATTTAAAAAATAGATTGTTCTGCAACGACACAATCCGTAATTTTTGTTGTCGTGATTTTTCAAGAAAAAAGGACTAGAAGGACATGGTTATGCATACAACCCGTATCTCCAAAACACGTGATCTTCTCTCATCATTCGCAAAATACATATAATCCCGTAAAACAGGAGGAGCGGACCTGGCAGTTCTCGTTATGGCTGGAGGCGTGGCATGCCTCTTTCCCATTCTCACGATTGATCAGAACAGAGCAGGTGCGGGCGAGTCGATGAGCGTCAGAAAGGTTAAGAAACAAGCGGGCACTTCAGGCATGGAATCCACGTGGCAAATATCACCCTGTGCTACAGTAGAGAAACACTCCTTGCCGTAGTACCCAAGCAGTCCTCTTGCTTGCAAATTTGTAAACCAAACCGACAAAACCAAACGCCACGAGTCCCTTTTCCAGGAGGGGAAGGACATGAGAAGTAGTAGGAGTACTGTTACTGTATGGTACTTGTTCCCGAAAACAATCCAAGGCAGGCGCTTCAAAAGACACATCGCACGTGTTTGCCTGACGATAATTTGTGGTACGGTCAATATTGAATTCCTGCACGTGCCAGCCCATGCCCCTCGGAGGTAACATTATTATAATGCTCCAACGTTATCTCCCTTCGCATCACATGTATTTAGCGAACCTCTCCTCTCCTTCTGCTTCTCTCTGTGTATGCTATCGAACCTTACCGAAGAGCTTTCCATCGCGTCCTCAAGCCAATCACCAATCGCCGTTCATAGTTCATCGCAGAGGAGACTGATGGGGACGGAGAGCCCGGTGAATTTCACTTACATGGGAAGGAGTGTCAGTGAATCGAGTATCGATGATCATTCCTCTTCGGCTTTCAGCGATTGCAACAGTGACAGATCTGGTGAATTTCCGACGGCCTCTTCCCAGAGCCGAAACCTCCTGATTGCCTGCGCATCAGACAATTCCGACGATTTTATCGCTCGACTGGTGAACGATCTCCAGTCCTCTTCGATTGAGGACCAGAAGCAAGCCGCCATGGAGATTAGACTACTGGCCAAGAACAAGCCGGAAAACCGCCTTAAAATAGCCGAAGCCGGCGCTATTAAGCCGTTGATTTCACTTATGTCGTCGCCGGACCTTCAACTCCAAGAGTACGGCGTCACGACGATTTTGAATCTCTCACTGTGCGATGAGAATAAGGAGCTTATAGTTTCTTCGGGAGCGATAAAGCCTCTGGTTCGAGCACTCAACACAGGGACATCAACGGCAAAAGAGAACGCGGCGTGTGCTCTGCTTCGCCTCTCGCATGTAGAACAGAACAAGGTCGTAATCGGAAGGTCGGGAGCCATTCCCCTTCTGGTGAAACTTCTAGAGAGCGGAAGCTTCCGCGGGAAGAAGGATGCCTCGACGGCGCTGTACTCCCTCTGTTCGGTGAAGGACAACAAAATAAGGGCGGTGCAAGCCGGAATAATGAAGCCGCTAGTGGAATTAATGGCCGATTTTGGATCAAACATGGTGGACAAGTCAGCGTACGTGTTGAGCGTACTGGTATCGGTGCTGGAGGCGAGAGCGGCGCTGGTGGAGGAAGGAGGAATTCCGGTGCTGGTTGAAATCCTAGAGGTGGGGTCGCAGAGACAGAAGCAAATATCAGCGGTTATACTATCACAGATTTGCGAGGACAACGCGGCCTACCGTACTATGGTGGCACGCGAAGGAGCAATACCACCGCTGGTGGCTCTGTCGCAGTCCGGCGCCGGCAGCTCCAAGCATAAGGTTTGTGTCGTAACATTATCCGGTTCATCAGCAGTGACCATTGCTCCGGTTGGCACTGACGTGGCACTTCCCCTGCCGCCACGTCGGTCCCCTAATATGGACACCTTAACGATTTCGTTTGCCATTAATTCTCTCGGCCTGGGATTTTGCCCCAGGTTTAGTCCTCAAGTCCACAACCAATGATTACAATTTATAAAAATAGTTTTTTGGAAAAAAAATTAACAAAAGTTTTAGGTTTAATGTTAGGACTTAGGAGTATTATGTAAACAGTAATAATTTGAAGGTGGGATTTTTGTCGCTTATTGTTTGCGTACGTGTTGACAGGCGGAGACACTAATAGAGCTTCTGAGGCAACCAAGACCCGGCAACGCCGCTATCAGTGCGCCGGGGGTCTCAGCATAAGCCCCACCGCAAATCGTGGCCATCGAGAGGAAGAAGAAGAAATGATGTTGTAAATGTGTTTGATACGGTAAAGCGTTGTAAAATTTGTGATAAAATGAAAATGAGTTTGGTTTTGTTTATTTGTGGGCGAGGACAATTACGCTCCTCCACCAGCTCGGTTTGTTGTGACTAGTTAGCGGTATGCAGTTCCAGAGCCGTCCTTTTTGCTCCTGTTGGTGCTGTTGGCGTAATAAATATGCAACATACTCACTTTTATTTGTTTTTGAAATTGACGAAGAATTTTTCAGCCTTAAACGTCACTGTGGTATGAGCGCCAAAAGCCCTACATGTTAAAAAAGAAAAGAAAGAAAGAAACCGAGTGAGGTGACAGTTGAAGAGGAAGAGGCGTGTGTGGGCAGTGTGGCGAGAGTTGGTTTGGGTTTTGCGAAGAAAAGAGTATAAGATGATGATTTGGAAAAGGTCCTCATGTTGGCCCAAAAAAGAAAAGGTCCTCATGATACGCGTGGATGAAAGCAACCACGAGAGGAAGGGAATCGTTGAAGAGAAACTTTTCCTTTTTTTTAAAAAAAAAAAAGCAATTAAAATGCTTTGATAATATCCTCCTCGTCCCAAGTTATAAAACAATTTAAAATAAGACAATACACACTGATAAAATATCATAATAAAACCTTACAAATCTACCTTCTTAAAATAACAATATAAACGTTTAAAGATATCTTTACACATTTAATTATTACATTATAATATTATTTTAATTATTTCTGTATTTAAAGGATAATATTAAAAAATATTATTAATAAAATATTATTTTTATTAAGCGGTATTATATTTTGAGACAAAAAAATCTTTTTAAAATTATTTTGTAATTTGAAACAAAAGGAACAGTAGAATTCAAGTCATGTTTGGTTATTAAAAATAAATAGAATAGAATATATTAAAAAAAATAAAAGTAAATATGAGAATATCAATAGAAATAGTGAATCACATTTATAAAAGAAAGGAATAATTTAATTTATAGAGTTGAGAATTATGATTCATAAAATTTTTATAGGGTGTGGTAATTCTCACATTATAATATATTTTAATAAATTTTATTATGCTTACCATGAGAAAAAAGAATAATTTAGTTTATTTTTATATTAATTTTTTTAATTCATCATTCCATTCATTTCTAATAGCCAAACATAACCTTAATCTCCCTAGAGATACCAAAGACAAATGACATCCCTATGCATTCCATCATTCTTATTTATAAATTATTTTTAATTTCAATATGTTTGATTATAATTTAGAAAAAGTTTTGAATTCATCAACACTATATCTAAAAATTTAATAAATTTTAAATTTTGATCCTTTTAAACACACACATTTTAATAATATATATAATTTTCCTAAAAAATTTAATCTGATTCAAATGTAAAATTACTCCCTTTTATTAAAAAATATAAAATATTTTGTTAGGGGTTAGATGTTTGAAAATATTAGGCACTTTTATTTTTTTAAGACACATATAGTTTTTTAAAAGTGCCCCTAATAAATAAATTATTTATATTTATTTAAGAGTAAAATATTTTATTAAATAAAAATAAATATAAAAATATGATGTTAATTAAAAAAATAATTATTTTAGTGAAGAGTGAAATTTAATTAAAAATATTTTATAATTTTTTAATGAAAGTATATGATAAAAATTAGATGAGATGATTAATAAATAAAATTAAAAATATATATTTATTTGCCTTGTAAATGAGAAATGAAAACTGTTACGGGAAAGCAAATGGATTCCACTGTGGGTCCCCCTTGGTTGACGGCTCTTGGCTTTTTTGTCTTTCTCCACGCTCCCTTCCTCTAATCCACGACGCGTTCTCTCCTTTCTTTCCTTTTCCACTTTTTTGTTTTAAGTACTCTCCTCTCCTTTCTTTCCTTTTCCACTTTTTTGTTTTAAGTACTATTTTCTTCATTATCTCGTAGCATTATCGGGCAAGACTTGACTCAGCCCACCCTCACGTCCCTTATCATGGGATGGCATTGAATGTGTCTCGAAGCCGAAGACATTGAAAGGTAACACCAGGGGCTTGAGTTTTGTGTGAAGTGAAAACAATCAAGAATTGAGTTGAGTTGAGTTGAGTTAGGATTTGTTTAAAAATTTGTTTTGAGAATAATTTTTGTTATTTAAAATAAGAGAATAAAAAATTTTTTTTGATAATGTATTTTTAAAAAATGTTTTAAAAAATAAAATATTATTTTAAAAAACAGAAAAATGAAAACAACTTTTAAGTATTTTGTGATTATTATTTTAAAAAATAAAAAAGAATGAAAAAAATATTTATTTTTATTATTTTTTAATTCTCAAAACATGTTTTATAAAATATCAGTTTTTAAAATATTAAAATAAAAATAATTTCAAACAACCCTTAACTTCTCTGACACTAAAATTTTATTTGGTCAGAAGGAGGGGAAGAAGAAGGAAAGGGAAGGGAATAAAGGGAAGGAGAAATCCTCCAATTTAAGAAGAGGCTTTGAAGGGAAGGGGGGGAGTTATTTTAAAAAAATTCGCCTCCCCTCCACCTTACCAAATGAGTGAAGCTCCTCCCCTTCAATCAAATATTACTTAAATATTGAAAAGGTATACTATTTTGTTGGATTTATAATGAACAAAAGGTTTTCAATATTTAATATTTTGTTGGATTTATGATGAACGAAAGGTGTGTTTGTTTAATATATAAGATGAAATTATACTTCAATAGGTCCATTCACAAAACCAGGATCAAAGTAACGTCATTCCTTGAGATGAAAGAACATTTGAAATTAATGAATTCTCATGAAATTAATGAATTCTTATGACCTCTTGACTAAGCACTTAATTAAAAAACAGTAAGCGGTTTGCTTTCCTTGTTCCTCCAACAGTAAGTTGTTTGGCATAGATGGGCGCGTGGCTTTTAAATAGAGGGAAAATTAAGGAGCGAGTTCTAATAATATTGAAATTTATTATAAATGGCTAGCAAAATTAAAATTAGGATGAAGGATCAAGAAAAATGTAATTGATTGTTATAATCTTAGTATAAAATTTGTCAACAGTCCCTTAAAACTAACATGGCCTCTTGACTACTGCATAAACTACAAGAGTAGTCTTTTAAAAATAAGGCTGTGCAATTTTTAATCACACACTCACACACACACACAAAAGCAGTATTGAATTCAATTAAATCAATATAATTTTAAAAAATTTACTTTTAAAAATCGATTTAATACAACCTTAAAATATTTAGTTTTAAAAAATTAAATCAATATAATTTAAGAAACTATACTTTTAAAGAATTATTACATTTTGCCAACAATATTGCCTCAGTCTTTGCACTTATGAATTTTCAAGGGAGATAAGGTTATTAATTTACTGTGAGTTTTTGAATATTCGTTTAGCTTTGTTTTAATTTGTTATTTTTCATCTCCTTGTTATGTGTGTATGTGTGTGTATAAAAGAAATAGTTTTCTCTCAAATAATGTGTTTTTTAAATGCTCAGGGGTAATGTATTTTTGTTATTAACAGTTAACTACGTGTGAGGTGTGGTTAAAAAAATACAATATTTAATCAGGGACAATTTAGTGTTTTTAAATTTACATTTTGATATTTAGTCCTTCAAAACAATTACTATTTTTAAGATCCTCTCTAATAAATATTATCTTCTCCAAATCCTTCATTTTCCCCTTGAATAAAAGAGAGCACTGTTGGTCAAAGCATCAAAAGAGGAACTAGAAGGATGAAATGGAAGCGAACCCGCTTCAATTTTACAATTGTCAGACTTTACTTTTTAAATACTGTATTTGCCAATAGTTGTTTGTGCATGTACAACAACAATTTTTATCCCACTAAATATAGGTAGTTATATAAATTATATAATATTATTATACTCTATAATTTGCTTGCATATCTATATCAATATTTTTATCTTTGCTATTACAGTTTTTTGTTCTTACTATTTTATTAAAGTTTAACATTTACTATTATACAACATAGTCAATTTCATAACAGTTTGATAAAAAAATTTTATAAATTTATCAGCTATCTTATAATCATAAGTAACTCATTTAATTTTTTTTAATTAAATTATTCAACTTGTATTTTATGCACAGTATATTTCTCAATTTTTCTATCATGGTGAATAAGTTGTTTGTGTGTATGGACTTTATTTTTTTGTTCGCTTGTGGCTTGACGTGGTCGACCGATAGTGTCACTTGGTATGCGTGTGACTGGTTCCCCTAGCCCTGTCAATGAAGGTGGATTCGATACGTTTTCCAAAATCTCTTGAAATTTGACATCTTCTACTATTATAATAATGCAATTGTCATTTTAAATATATGATTATTCAACTTTTTTATTGGTTCTTTCAAGTTCCACACAATCGAAATGAAAAAAGGTGGGTCTAAGAGATAGAACATGGCAATCCAAGAGAACAACAGTTCAAAAGATCGCTCAAAACCTTTTTTTTTTTTAAGAAATACATATTTGACCATTCCACTTCTTTTTATTGGCCCAGACTCTAATGACATGGAAAAGATGATTAAAAGATTAAAAGAAGAAGAAGAAAATATATGCATTCACTAAAACTTGTACTGCATTTTCATTGTAAGGAGACCCATTCTGATTTTGCTTATCCAGCATTTATGGATTGAATTGGGTCAGAACTTTGGTCCATTTTCACTTTGCACATTCTCCTAGTCTAATGGCTCTAAATGATGATTCTGAGAATCAAATCCACAAGTATCTCATGTAAGATTCTTTCTTTGTTATTTTTCTTGTATTGTCAGTTGTGTCGACGTGTGCTTGCATGTCTTTCACTTGTATTTATTTTTATTATGCACAATTATTTTCTTGTTGAAGGTTCTCTTATTCAAAACATATCTTATTTGTATTTCTTTCTAACCGCCCGTGTTTTGCTTGATCTCTAATTCCAGAGTTCATGATTAGCATCATTTTGTGTTTTTTTTAGCTTTGGTTTGCATGTCCATGTCCCTTCAAGAAAAGCAGTGTTCCTATTTTTTTGGAACACAAATGCTGAAAAAAAAAAAAATTGTACTAGGAACGTACTCTTTCCATTTCTATTTTTAAAAAAAAAAACTGTATTACATAATTTAAAAAAATTAATTAAGTATATTAATTGTGTCTGAAAATAAAAGAATTAAATTATAATATCCTTTTATTAATCATATTAATCAAGCTTTTATTAATTATTTCTTATGATTATGAATGATAAAATTATAAG